TTCAACAAGGAAATGTACAGGCAAGTAGATGGAGTAGCAATGGGTTCTCCCTTAGGACCCTTCCTAGCCAACTTTTTTATGGCTACCTTAGAGAACAACGCCTTATCACCAACTATCAATGACCTCCATCTCTACAAGAGATACATCGATGATACTTTCATTATTTGTGATGAGAATTGTGATTTAAAAAACCTACTTCAAATCTTCAATAATGTCCAGCCTGGTTAGCAAAAGGAGACCAAAAACGTGTATATAGTTCAGTGACAGAACATATGGTCGATTCAGGACATTCGGTGCCATTCGAAAAATCCTTCAAAATAATAAACAAGATTCGATCAAACCTGTCAAAAGGAGTGAAATCAAGATATCTGGGCATGGCCGAGGCTCTAGCTATCCAAAAGCTCAAAACCACACTTTGTATCCGAAAGAAATACGTTCAACCCCTGTCCCTGCCATGGCCATCTTAAACAGGTAATTTTTAATAATGACCATCCCATCGCCTTTCTTATCTAAACTTCCTGTTTATTCATGTTATTCTTTTAAGTTTTTCTTAATCTCTGTTTACACTATCATATTTTCATACCCGAACTTCGTGTTTATTTTGTCATTTTACTATTTCTACATATTTAATCCCTGATTGCATAAACAATTATTCATCACATTACTTTTTTATCCAAACATCCTGTCTATTTATTTTGTTATTTCTACATTGCTAACACTCAATGACACAATGTCAATCCTCTTAGTCATTATGATGCTACTTTGTTTGAGTTTTATCCGTCCCTCCACGTTTATTGTGACATTTTAATTCCTAATTGTAATTTTTATTAATTTGACCCTTAACCGGATATTATTCTGGAACTTTCCCATCCATTTGATATAAATACACCGAATGTACAGCCTAGATGATGACTTCGTCGAAAAGAAAATTTTCTTCACTGCAATTGTCTTATTAATAACTCCTATGACCCAATGTGTATATTCCGTGATAAAGGAGATTGTTAATTTTTTATTAGAAGAAAAACCTGGCTAATTGACGAATTCGTTTATATGATCCAGGCAGAACTTCATGTTAGTGTATAGTAATCGTCTGACCATACAGTTTCATAGATAGATAGATAGGCATGGTCATTTGACTACTTTATTCCAGCAAAAAAACAGACAACAATCACCCAGCATAAATGGGAGGAACCTAAAAGAAACAACCTCCTTTACCTACCCGCCTACCTGGGAAGCATCGTTTCAACTACAGGCCGACGGAACTGCTGAGGATATCAAAGCAGCGAGGATCGGGAAAGCAAAACAAGCTTTCATTACTCTCAAATCTGTGTGGAGGTCAACAGCACTCAGTATGAAAATGAAAATAAGATCCGAATTTTCAACTCCACTGTGAAGTCAGTGCTATTCACTATACGGATCATAGATTTTCACTGTGTGTCATAAAGAGCACCTCAGCCAGAAAAAATCAGCAACAGCGATCTCTGGGAATGAGCGAACCAACCAGGAACCGATTGTGCAACAAATAAGCAGGAAATGATGGATGTGGATTGGCCATACTCTGAGAAAACAAGCCATCAAGTGACATCACTAGGCAAGGCATCGTTTGAGTAGAACCCGAAAGGGAAGTGACGAGTTGGTCGTCAGTGCGAGGGTGACTTGGAAAAGGTCATGTGAAGAGGAGATGAAAGCATGTGGACAGACTTGGAGCCAGGTGAAAACGTTGGCAGAAAACCAAATGCAATGGAGACGCGTGGCTGAAGCCCTATGTTCCTCTAGGAACCAAAGGAAATAATAATAATGATAATAATAATCCCGGACGTTGTAAAGGTGCAAGCTATTATGGTAGCACCATGTTAACCGTTACCTCCTCGTCTTACATTTTACAAAGGGAGCGAATCACATGTCAAGCATTCAACGGGTCCATTATATGTGTGAGCACAATTATAATAATCATCTTACCTTGTTCTGTTAAGACCTTTTTGTAACATCTATCTATCTTATGTAAACAGTGCACTGATTAAGTGATCCATAGTCAAAAATTTCATGTTATGAATTCACGTATTGTGTGGATTAAGCGCGCTTGCTCAGCTGTATAATTCTATAATCGATTTTTGAACGTACTTGAGATCAACTTAGAAATAAATACATTGCTTTGTATCACTTTGTAGAGTTTGCATTTATGACACATATTGTTTTATGCGTGTTATATATCGCTTTGATTTCACGTCTCTTTGTTTATTACAACATATTTTACTTCTCATTATCATTGTTATTCACGTGACTCGAATGACTAACTAGCTGACTAATATGTAATTTGATCTCATTTACTACTAATACTAGTCATTTACTGATAAGCACGAAACAATTAAGGATTAACTGTAATTAACAATGATCACTACTAACAAGAAGTAGTTTGTTAGGACTCACGCCTAAATCACTTCAGTGACTCAGGGATTGACTTCCTATCAGGGAATAATCTCGTTGACTTAGAATATGCCAACGACGATATAGTCCTTCTAGGCGAGGACGCTGACAAAATAGAGCAGAGTCTTCTGAACACCTTGAGCAGCGAGCAATCTTCGAATGTTTGGCATGTGATTCGCTCCCGCCAAATGCAAGATATTACAGGACTGGCTGAACTACACTGACTCCTAGTTTAGAAATAGGAAGTGAAGTGGTAGAGCACGTTGATCGCTTCACTTTTTTGGGGAGTTGCATCAGCCAACGCCAACGGGTTGATCTCTCTGATGCAGTCTCAGTACGGATACAGAGGGCTAGTTTTGGAGATGCTAGTTTACACCGTCTCTGGCGTAGACGTGATATCCGACTATTGACCAAAGGGCGGGTGTACTGCTCACCAGTCCCCTCCGTCCTCCTATATCGCTGTGAGTGAGACCTGGTCATTGAAAGTGAAAGACATGAAAAGATTAGCTGTCCTTGATCATAGTTACCTGGGTTCTATTTCCTGTGTGAAGTGGTATAATAAGGTGAGCAATATTGAGGTTAGACCTAGGTCGAGTGCTAGGTAGGTGGGAGAGGAAATCAATCAACGAGGTTGTGAAATTACATCGACTGAGATGGTTAGAACATGTGTTACGTATTCCATTATGGGTAAATTTTGTTTTGATAAAGTCTCACAGTGTTATACAGTAATGTTTACTGATGACGTTTCGAGGACCCAGTTGACCCAATTAGACAAAATAATATTATTTACAAAATACCATGCAATGACTGTGAGGTCAACTACATAGGTCAAACTAGTAGGTCAGGGGTAGTCAGATTGTCAGAGCATAAGAATTTAGCTAAGGTAAGAATGGTTGACCCCGAGAAGATAAGTAATTTAGAAAAAAGCTCAGCAATTGCAATGCATGCGCTAACACACAACCACACAATAGGGTGGGAGAGAGTTAAAATTCTAAAAAGTAATCTAGGTAGGTGGAGAGAGAGGTTGATTACTGAATCCTTGTTCATCGAGTCTACACCCAACACATGCAATAGGAATGACTCGTCACTCATACCTGAAATATGGAAAATACTACTACCAATCAAATCAAGTGAAAATCAAGAGAAAAACAATGGAACTATATAAATGAATTTAGGAAGTCGTGTGATTACCTTGATATGATTATGAGCAATAAATTGTGCTCGAAACGTCATCAGTAAACATTACTGTATAACACTGTGAGACTTTATCAAACAAAATTTACCCATAATGGAATTACACTCTACCACAGTGCACAAGTTTTATTCTTATATTAATGTGTTACGTATGCTTAGTCTAACCATCGCCTTCCTCGACTGACGGGTAATGTTAGCTGACATAGGGTCAGACTGGAAAAGAGCTAGTGGCTGGTGGTCAAACCAAAACATGGTTTCATCAGTCAGTGAAATCCACAACAGTTAGTTTAGGCTAGTCACGCAGGAAGGTGTAGATTTCCTGACATTTCTTCTTAGATATAATGGAGAAGATTTGTAGCTGAAGTGGATGGTTTTGATGTAAATGTGTTCTCTTTTCTTGTGAATCTTCCATTGTCCCCCTCCTAGGCAACGTCTTCAGCTTACACACTTCAATTTGATGAAGTGAACTTTATAATTTCTCTACCAGTTTATTAGTCACCTCTTCTGGTGACCTTGAATGTGATTGGTTGCTCTTGTCTGTCTTCACCCCCTTCTAGTCTGCTTGTAGTATTGGAATGGATTGTTGCTTTGACCAGCATGATCTTCTACAAAATAAATTGCAATGACTGCAAAAGACAATACATTGGTTAAAGTGTGGACGCCCTTTTCGTCGTCTTCGTATCCATGATAACAAACTAGCCGTCAAAAGACACAATACCAATCCCCTCCCTCTCATATCACTCAATGCATACAGACAACCGTAAACATCAATTTGACTGGAACAACGTTCAAATGTTAGGCAGAGGGAGTATCTAGAACGCCAGAGAATTTTTTCGGAAGTCTGGTATTCCAGTGAATCAGTACATTAATAGGCACATTGACATAGATAAAATTTAATCATCCATAAGTGTTAAACTTCAGGTCAATGAAACAATCAATATTGTATAGGTTGACTAGAGGGTGTGAAAACAGACAGAAACAAGCAGTCAAATTTAGAGTGACCACCAGGAGAGATGACGTATATAAACTCGTGGAGAAATCTAAAAGCTCTCTTCACAAATTGAAGTGTATGCGCTAAAGATGTTGCTTATTAGGGCGCAATCAAAGCTACTCAGGTATAACCGTCCAGCTCAGAGAACAGAACTACTTCAAAATATTTCTTCTTCCGCCTAACCCTCATTTTTGGGGGCTCTACAACACTCCACACGCGATTGGTTAATGAACATCGAAATAAAATTACAACAATTGGATATTCACCTTTTCAGGGAATTTATAAAATCTTCATTTTATGGCAGACATTAAATTTGATATGTCATCATCAGATCATATTTGCTGCCATGTATCTTGATTCCCTGTCATTTATTTCTTCTTTTTTTTCTCAGAATATCTTGTGTGATATGTCCGGATCATTCCTATCGCGTCAGTGTTTTTGTAAAATTCTTGCTATTAGTGGATCCGTAAGTTTCAATGTTATTTATTTATATAAACTCTTTATACTGTTTCATGTCATAGATTATAGGCACGTATATTGATATCCACTGGTTCGAAAGCTTAGCTCACCAACTCTATCCATATGCTTTAAATTATATCAAATTAGACATAGACGGATGTGATTATAACAGTTTTCAACTAGCCCCGGAGGCTTAACCGAGTGGTTTTATCCTACGTCAGCTCTGAAGGACGTACGTGGAGGCGGTGTAGATCTGCTTCCTGGAGACAGAATTTTCTACCTCGAGTATGCAGACGATATCATCTTACTGTGCGATAGAGCATTCAGGTTGCCCAAATCGTGCCAATCATTGTCTATAAGTATGGGATGTGCTTTGCGCCGTCTAAGTGCAGGTTGCTGTTACAAGACTGATAGGAGCCTATACCTGCGCTCACTCTTGCAGGTGAACCGCCTGAAGTGGTCGATAACTTCGTGTATCTGGGTAGTTGTGTGTGAGTGCTGGCGGAGGTGTGACTGACGAGATTTCCAACCGTATTATGGAAGCTACTAGGGTGGCATACGTCAACTTGGACCACCACCTCTGGCTCCGTCGCGACGTTAGCCTGACTGTCAAAGACCGAGTGCGGGTTGTCTCGCTCTACGCCTGTGAAACCCGGCCTTTCCGAGCTGAGCATGTGCGGCAACGACTCTGTGTATTCGATTATCGCTGTCTCGGTAGAATTGCCTGCATTCTAGGGGATCATCGTGTGAGTAACTCTGAGGTCTGGTGGCGTGTGTTTAGACACAGTGGAGATCACTATTCGTTAATTGTCATCATCTGGAAACACCATCTTTGATGGCTTGGACATCTGCTACGAATGTCACCCCTGAGGCTTCATTGCTCGTCTGTATTCGCTAGCCCTGGGACGGGATGGAAGAAGTGGAGAGGTGGTCAACCAGATCACGAGGTGGCTTCCTGGGATGAAGGATATTTGTGGTAGGTTAGCGTCGGTGTTAGATAAGAGAAAAAAGGGGGGTTACGGAGAAAGAACAGTAACAGTGGATGTTGGAAGATCTTAAAGATTGACTGCATCTTCATCGGTGTGATAATGATTTTGAGCTATATCACAAACAGTCTCCAGAGCCATCGAGTCTTATCATCTAAAGGACCCCACTGAGGCATTTTACATCTCCCATGTGTAGCTGGCTCAAACCATATATTGAAGACTTTACGGTTTGACTTCCCACTAACTCATCTTTTTAAGCTGGCCCTATGTCAGCTAACACTGACCGTGGAGGAAGGCGACGGCTTTCATATGTCTATTTGTGCTTCTCTCACTCCACACTTACTGATTTATTACCAAATTTTCTCTTACCCTACTTATTATGTAATTTGAAATCCTATTGGTTGGGGTGCCGCGGGGTCCCCGCCTTCCTTACAAAATTGAAAAGAAAGTGGGACCCATCCTGTAAAATAAACTCTGCTACAGAAACTTCAAGCTACTAGCTTGAAGCTCTATGTTCCACTGGGGAACGTGAAGGAAAAATTATTATTATTTATTATTATTGGTTGTTCACTGTCTTAATTTACCAATGACATTAGTGCTTCTCAAGGTCATTATATATATATATATATATATATATATGTCAACCTTTTTGGACTGTTGTTTTGAGACAATACGAAGCTGTTTTATCGACGAGCAGCTTTCTCTTGTCTCTGCGATCCCGCGGTATTATTGTTGTTGACATGCGATTAGGACCGATTAGCCAGCGCATTAAGTCCCGTTAATAACAGCTTCACAACCTCATCGACTGACTCACCCTCCTCTCCGAACACTGTAGATTTTTGCTGACTCTCATTGGTTCTTGTTTAAAAACGTGTTTCACTCTACAGTGGTTTTTTCTGTCTGTCGTTTATTTATGAATTTATTCTAATCACTTTGTGTTGATGTTATTGTTTTTTGTGGCTTTTCTTTCATTTTTCTCCTTTTCAGGATAGTAAATCTTATGCATGGAAACCGTATTACATGTGTGTTGCTGACGGCGAAGTGAAATTTATCAAAGCATCATGGGCATTTTATGGAGCTGGTCGAAATTCTAGTAAAGTGAGAGTCAATTGTGTTCTGTCTACATTTGATCTTGATTTATTCTGCCATTTATTGGCCTTTGTGTAAATATTAATAAAGAACGTGTATATGTTCTAAGGGGTGTGTGTAGGCGAGTGTGTTTAGCTTGAAGTCAGGGGGATACTGTTCTTTGCTTATATGTCTATGAAGCGGTGAGAACACACCATGCAGAGTAGCATAAATCATTCGGTAAAGCATATGTACAATGGATTAGCGAAGATTATTTGACGACTGTCGATTTGATTATCCTGTAGTCCACATGTCATTCTTAATCCTTCACGTGAACGGATGTGGAAGACAAACAACTGCTAGACAGCATGACAGAACTATTCGCTCTAAAGAATACCTGAAATTATATCCAATTTTTCTTTAGGATAAAATGATTAAGACGGTTGATTATCTGCAGTCAGATGGTCGGCGTTGAGGGCAATGTTGTAAGGAAGGAAAATCTATCGATGACAACAAGCCTGAAACCTAGTTGTCAGACAAGGTGTCCTAAGGACGATTACTTCCAACCATCTAAAATGGTGGCCACACTACAAACTTGACTGATAGAATTCTAGAGCAACGAAGTTCAGCTAAGAGTCTCTTTTCGGTGAATTCATTCACTTAGCTGTACAATCACATTCATATATAGTTATTTTGTGTTGGTATATATGTCAAATAAAATTAAAAATTAGTTGGGTTATTGTTTACGTCATCAAAATGGTTCAAAAAATATGATGAATAGTCATATTGTAGCTAGGGAGTGTGTATGTATTGCCAAAGGTTGAGTAATATGAAACAGGATGTTAATGAAGTCACATGTCCAAAGAATAAATTTTCAATAGGTAGAAAGATTGAATAAATGGTTGGTTAAGAAGAATATGTTGCTAAGATGCCATACAAAAATTCAAAAAACTAAACATTGTTACCAAAGTCATAGAACTTGGAATTATACCCAAGGTAGAAGGAGGGAGTGGGTAAGTTTCTTCTGTGTGCATAAATTAGAGTTTTCCATCTGGATCGCTGGGGCTTCCTCGGCAATGCCAAAGTATACGGAAGCTTGCCATTTTCAGGAGGCTTCTTTTGACTTTGTAGATGACTTTGAATGAATACTTCTTAGACATATTCAGTAGTGACCAGTGTTGAATATATGTCCAATTATAGCAATCCTTATTGATCCACTGTTACCTCTTCGTAGCCAAGCGGGATAATGTTCTCTGACTCTCTTAGATAAAACATACACCGAACGACCTATATATCTCGTTCCACATGAACAAGTAAATTGGTGGATACACATAGAAGGGGTCAAATGCGATAGTTTATCTTTAGAGTTGTTGAAGAACAGTGGGCGGTGTAAGAATACCAATAGAAATATAGTAGCAGAGAATGTTCTTTCCAGAGTGTTAGATATTCTTCTCTTAAGGATGTCGACCAGAAGGTCGCCTTTGGACGCCTTATTCCTGTATAGCATCTTTTTCGGCACGGAGATGGGTTGTCGTGGTCCCAACTGAAGGTGAAAGCAGAAAATAAAACAAGGTGGAGATTTGTTGTTGAAACCCTACCTTAAACCCTGAACCTAGGGGAATAATAATAATAATTATTATTATAACAGGGACAATAGAGATTTGTGCTCTTTTGCCAAAAGTTTCTGACAGTAACACCACCCTAATGTTAAATAACTCATCAGGAAGTGTCTAATACACACAATATTTGTGTGATAGTCATTTGTGTGTATATTAATGTTACGGCGAAGTTAAACTTTCGACACCACTAACTACCTATCAGCGAATGAGATTTACGAACGATGTTGAATTATCCAATGAGATTCACGAACGTAGTTCAATGTTGTAGAGCGCTTGATTCATTTCTAATGCGTGACCTTACAAGGTTACGGCTGCAATTTGAGGAGGTTAGTGTTTTCCAGTATTGCCTGGATTTAAATTGCTCCGGAAGGAGCGAACTTGTTCTTGTGTTGGTATCATGACTTTAAAAAGCTATAGCAGATCAACTGGTGGGTTTGTTCATCGTTGTGCTATATGTTTGAAGCATGCTAATATAAGAGAGGGTGAGCTGATAATTTTAATATTTCGTGGGAAATTTTTCCACTAGGTCACATCTCTCCCTAACCCAAATTTTGTATATCTGCAATTACTGTGGGTTGAAACAGCCGGTGAGAGCAGCAGCTGCCGAGACTGGAAATAGTCTTGTCTCAACAGTTTAGTGGTACCAGCATTGCAGAGATATTGCTTCGTGTAAAATAGAGACAATCACTTGTTTGCTGTGTGGATCCCGTTACGAGGACTCATACGAATTCCACTGAAGGTTTACGGGGCCGCTTGAAAAACACGATAACAGATATAAATGGATCTGGAAAGGATCACATTTACAGCCGTTCAGATGAATATAAGTACAGGATGTGATGTGACTTCGCCATTGACAGTCACATGCTAAACTGGGGGATGTTTCTCTCACATATTCGAGAAAGATACTCCTTGTAACCGTTTTATCCTTCTTTATGCTTTTTTCTATAAATATGCGTTTCCATTCATCATATATGCCTATTTAATGTGATTGGTCCGTTCAAGGTCGTTTGCTGATTGGTAGCTAGTGGTGTCGAAAGTTTAACTTTGCCCATTTAGAGTTTTTAAAGAAAATATCAGATGTTATCATGTTTATTGAAATTTGCAAAACACATGGTAAAATCGTACGATAATTCCGTTTTTGTGCGTGTTTGATCAACGTGAAATCCGAAGAAGAAGTATTATGTCTATCTATTTGTAAGTGGTAATACTGTTTGACAAAAAATACGATTAAGCATCCACATGTCTGTGATACAAAAGTATAGTACAGAGATTGGTTTATCATATTTTCACCTATTACCATTGTAAAAGAGAAGACGTTCAGCGAAGAGACTCTTTTCGATGGCGAATTCATTCACATAGCTGTACAATCGCATTTATATATAATTATTTGTGTATGTGTGGGTACATGAGGTTTGTCAAGTTTGGATAATTGATCAGGTAATACAAGAATGATCTAATATAGAACCAAGGTTAATTCGACAACAACTAAAGTAAGATTGAGCTAGTTAGTAAGTGAAATGACGTAATATAATTGACTAAAATGTTTCAACTTAGGTCAGAGTAGCAACAGAGGTAATTACAGGTAGAAAGAGACCAAGTAGAAGTGGGGTAGATAATAATGCCACTTAAATTAGAACTGAAATTGAGCAAACAAGTTGGATGATGTAAGATAAACGACTAGAAATTGAGCTTTGGTCAAGTCAGTAACAGTGGTAGTGAGATGTAGAAATTAAATCGGGTGAGGTTAGAGAACAAGAAGGTTGAAAATCTAAAATATTGCAATTGAGAAGACAAAATAATATTAATGAAGACAGAAGAGAAAAGGATTAGGTAGAATTTAATTGTCGGGTAATAAGATAGATTAAGTCCATTGCAAGTGTAGTGATTGAACGAACTTCTTCTGTATGCAGAGTTCAGGCTTAGCAAGTGAATCGCCATAGCTTCTGCAGTTTGGAGAAGTGTGATTCGTACACCTTTAGGAAGACTACTTCTTACTCTGTAGACGACTTTGAAGTTTGTTTGGGGTGCAGCTTGGTGTTCGGATTCTATCAGATGTTCTAAGAGGAGCTGCGGGGACATCGTTTTTCTCCTTTGTAAAACCATGTTGGTAAGTGTTCGGTAATACGCTTGGAAAGCGAACGCTGAGTATGGCCAACATACCTGGCTCCACACGAGCAGTTGAAGTGATAAATACATATTGATGAGGCCAGCAGTGGTAGATTATGCTTCACGTTCACATGAATCATAGTTTTGTGGAGAAGCTTAGTCGTAATTCAGCTGCGAAGAAGGTCTTCTTGAGTGAGGACGACAGTCGATTTTTTACTGTTTCCGCAGATATATCTCCACTGAGTTGAAGGTTCATGTAGAGTAGTTTTTTCGGGACGCTAAGCATGGGCGGCTTTTATGAATGAATTCGCCGAAAAGAGTCTCTTCGCTGAACGTCTTCTCTTTTTAATATGACTTAATGGGGATTTTCAAGCTATTACCATTGTGTTTTCTTGAGTTGAGTTCCGAATGGAACCTACGGCTCCAGCATCACATCTCCATTTCACAGTGCTCTCTATCTCTTTCTGCAGTCTCTTTTAACTGACTTCATGGTTGCGCACACTATCTTCTCTATGTCATCCTCGAACCCACACCCGACAAGTCGTCGTTTGCCATTTGTGTTCCATTGGAATACCCAACGCATGTTGTCACTCAAATGTCTTTTCAGTATGTGTCCAATCTACCTTCGTTTCCTACTGCGCATAATCGATGGGCGTTAGTTTCTTGGTTGCTAGAGTTGTTTGTTGTTAGTCCTTTCTGGCCATCTCATCTTCAACATAGGCAACTGATGTTGCCTGGTTGGGAAATGTTTTTTTTCTTTTTTTGGGGGGGTGGTGGGAAAGGACCAAGTCTTTGGAAGTCATATGGAAGCAATGAATCTTGTTCTCCTTATCCTGAGTGCTACATACCGGCTTACTTCGTAGTTAAGTGATTAGTTTAGGAATAATAGAGAAGATTTGTAGCTCAGGTGAATGATTTTGAATTAAAAACCACCTGCTTTGAATATGTTATCTAGAAGGAGGACGATGAAAGCTTCGCAATTAAATCAACTGGTAGCAGCTCAGAGAACACAACTGGAGGATTAGTTAGGACTCAGTTATCTGAAACGAGTTTCTCAAGTACACCACTGAGTTGTCTAGACTAAAGAAAACAAGGCAGGGATTCGAACCCGGGTAGACTGTTTGAAAGTTGTTGAGCTTTTGAAACCAATAAATCATATCTCCTGTCTAATGGGATTCAACCATTTACATATTTTTTTCCATCTCTCATCATATTACCTTGATTGAAGAAGTATGCAGTGAATTAATATCTTTCAAGGGGGCGTTTTCTGATGAATAATCGTACTAATTACTGCATAATTTAATAATGATAATAATAGTGGCTTCATTCTGAATTATAGTTATGTAATGTACCGAATTTTCAGCGGTTATTGCATGATGTATTTTCGTTTCGTACAGGATCTTTAAATGGAAAATTAATTTTCTATAGTTTGGTTTGTAAGGGTTAGTTATGTTTTTACGAGTTGATCATGGATTGATATCATTGTGAGGACCATTGAAAACCAGGGAGCACTGGAAAGCTGTTGTTTCATCCTAGTTTGGGAATCATCGGCAGTGTTCACCCCAGTGATGTCCATCCAGATGTCACGTGTGAGGATGGATGTCCCACCGAAGACATTTGTTGGGGTCGCGCTAAATCCTGAAGTTAGAATCCATGAGCCATTGAGTTGGGTTCCAGTGGCTGAATGATATACAAACTTGCCTTGTAACCGGAAGGTCCTGGGTTCGAACTGGTTGTGGTGGATTCGTACTGCCGATGATTCCCAAACTAGGATAAAACAGCTGTGCAGTACTCTAGCGCTGGTTTTCAATGGTTCTCTAACTGATATCAATCCATGATCAACTCGTAAAAAAAAAACTAACCCTTACAAATTGACTGACAGTAGATTGATCGTGTGACAGAGTTCTATCTGACCTTTGAGAAATACACGACGACATTTTGTTAAATGTCACTTATGAAAAGTTCAGGAGTAGATTTTATGAACCAATGAGGACACCACTGAGGGACGATCTTCCCATGTAGTTGGTGGAATCAGTTACCATGGAGGATAATATCCTTCTTCTTATGTTTAGCAACGAGTTGTCAGAAGAAGCATCATGGATAGCAAGTACTACAGGTGAACACAGAGAAAACAGAGGTGATGAAGATTCCTGGCCAACACCACCACCACCAACAACAACAGACGACAGTCAGCATAAATGGGAGAAATCTGAAAGAAACAACCTCGTTTACCTACCAACCTGGGAAGCATCGTTTCAACTACAGGCGGAACTGACGAGGATATCAAAGCCAGAATCGGAAAAGCAAGACAAGCTTTCATTACTCTCAAGTCTATCTGGGGCCAACAGCACTCACCAAAAATAAGATCCGGATTTTCAACTCCAATGTGAATTCAGTGCTACTCACTTCGTATATCGGAGATTTGGCGCTTCATAATGAGCATCTCAAACAAACTTCAGACCTTCATTAACAGTTGTCTTCGCTCAATACTCAAGATCAGATGGCGAGCCAGAAAAGATCAGCAACAGGGATCTGTGGGAGCGAACCAACCCAGCAGGAACCGATTGTGAAAGAAATAGGCAGGAAGAAATGGAGATGGATTGGCCATACGCTGAGGAAACCATCAAGTGACATCACTAGACAAGCCATCACTCGAGTGGAACCCGAAAGGGAGGCGGCGAGTTGGTCGTCAGTGCAATTGTGACTTGGAGGAGGTCATGCGAGGAGGAGATGAAAGCATGTGGACAGACCTGGAGCGGGTGAAAAAGTTTTCAGAAAACAGAAGGCAATGGAGGTGCGCAGCTGAAGCCCTATGTTCCTCTAGGAACTAAAGGATACAATAATAATAATATTAATGAAGGTTTTTTTCGGTAGCCCAAGTTTTGAACTGGCCGCCAAATTATCTCTTAATTGATCAATGTTCATTTATCTATTTCATTTTATTTTCAAATTTATTTTTTAGACATCTAAAAATACAAATGATATTATCTATCCACGAAATGCAAGTTTAAATAATCTTCGTGATTATTCATCTAAAACGCATCATAATACATCAAGATCACAAGATGGATTAAACGATGACTCTATATCATATCATCAGTGTCCCCGTCAACTTCTGAAACTGATTGTTCATCTATTTCATCGTCAAATATTGCTGGCAAATCGATTAGTCCATCATCGGCTTCTTGTATAGTTCTACCTATTCTTGGTCTTTTTTGGCGTGCTGAAGCATTGCCAGCAAATTTTCCTAACTGGTTACCTTTAGGTTCGAATTCAAATCTCCTCTCAACACCTTCTTCTTCACGTCCGTCTAGTACTGTTATCAATCCAGATTGGATGGATCCTCATTTCTCGGGTTTATCACATCCACCACCACAACAACAAACAACGATTGAAAATCCTGATTCTGCCAATATCCCAATGACGACAGTGACCACGACGACGACAACGACGTCGGCAGACTCTCATTATAACAATAATGCCAATAATAACAATAATGGCAGTACCAATGAGGAGGATATTCGTTCAAAATTCCGTTGTTATCGTTTTGGACACATTGCAGCTGGTGTTGAACTGTTATTTGTATTCCCTGATGAAAATGCAGCTATGACGTGTTTGAAAATGTGTCAGGTATTAGTTGTAATTTTACATTTTATTATTATTATAATTCCTTTGGGTTCCAAATGAAACATACGACTTTAGCAGTGTATATTATCTCCATGTCACCCTCTGTTCTCTTCACAGTTCTTTCTAACTGCCCCCCCCCACGATTACCTGTAAACTTTCATCTTCCTTCTTACACGATATCCTTCACGATTACCCTCAGTATCACCGCCAACTCATCGTTTCTTATTCGGGCTTCAAGGGAGTGAAATGGTGGCCGAGCGTGTTGACCAGTTCACTCACTTATTTGGGAAGTTGCATGAACCAGCCTCAACAGGTTGATCGTTGATGAAATCTCAGCGCTCATACACAATCTCCGTTTACCACTTGCTAACTTATACCATCTCTGGTTTAGTAGACGTGATATCAGGCTGACTGGCTATCGCCTAAAGGACGTGTGTACTGCTCAGAGTTTCCTCACTCCTCCTCCTCCTACTCTCTTATGCCTGTGAGCTAGACATGGTCATCACAAGTGGAAAACAATAAAAGACAGGCCAGCTAGCTGTCTTTGATCATAGGTGTCTGCATTCTATCTCCCGTCTTAGGTGGTTGGTGTAATAAGGTGAGCAATATTCAGTTGATCAAGCGTCGACTGCTAGGTAAGTCAAAGAGGGGGAGGAAAATTAGTTGACGAGGTTGTGAAGTTACATCGACTGAGAGAGATATTTGGGACATCTGTTACGCATGCCTTACCTTGGCTAGCCTAGTCATCGATCGCTTTCTTCCACAAGGGTCAATGTTAGCTGCCTACATAGGATGGATCAAATTGTTGAGAAAGAGCTAGTTGTGGAGGTGGTCAAACCGAAACATGACTTTATCACTCAATGAAATCCATAACAGTTAGTTTCAGCCAGCTAGCCAGTCAGCCAGTCACGTAGGGAGGTGTAGACTTCCTGACTGACTGGTTGGGGTCCTCGGGATGATAGGAACCTAATGAAGGCTGGAGACAATCGGCGTTATGGCTCAATGGAAAGCGCAGATGCATTCACTCACTCTTTGTGATTTGTCATATCCAATCGAATTCTATTGTTCTTCCATATTACTACTATTCTTCTCCCCTTACTCTACTGCTACACATGTATCTGTGCAAAGTTCTACGTCGAAACAAATCAGTCAGCCAGGAATTCAATTGAAGGTTTGAGTAGCTTATCATGGCGTCACTTGACAGTTGCCTCCTTATCCATCTCCATATTTTTTAATAAGTAGTTGCCTCTACTAGAGTTCTTTGTTTGTATATTCTTTCCAACCAGTCATGCATGTTGTGGTGAGAGCAGACTGCTAGCCAAATTGGTAGACATTAATTTACGTCAGTGTTTATGTCCCAAATATTGGTAGTGAGAAAAATACGAACGAAGACTGATTCAACAAACAACCCCAGCACACTTTGCGTAGGCGGATACAGTTAACATATAGATGATCTGACATTCAAGAAACAGCCAAAAAGAGATGCAAGGTTAGCTTTCTGTAAGAAACAACTAATCAGAAGACTGTGTTTGTTTGCTTGAATAAGCTATAATTAATGTACATGAAATATATATATATATATATATATATATATATATATATATATATACGTGTTGATTTCCATTATGAACGATCTGTTGCCTGGCCCTTGTCTTATGTTGTTACAATGTGACCTCCAATATGAGTCGAAAGAAGACAGCTGTTGTTGAAAGTCTGCAGTAATTCATGTGCTGGAGAGAATACTTTTGATGAGGCTCGCGTCATCTTTGAACCATATAAAGAAGCACTGACTTGTTGACACATCAGTGTTAAAAATTCGGATTTCTTCCCCTTATGCTGAATGCAGCATAATTAAACAAAGTAAACTGGAAAGTTAAAGAGTAATACTTGCAAACTTCATGAAATTTTACTGCATTGTGTGGGAAGAAATTTGCCCTCAATGCATTTCTTATAAGGAGCTTGACTTGACCACCACTCTCAACTCTTTTCCACCTGATGCTATGTCAGCTAGCTTGACATTGGCTGTCGAGGAAGGCGATGACGATGTGTAAATACATGTCCTAACCTCAATATTGCTCACCATATTATAGCACACTTAATACGGGAGACAGAATGCAGACACTTATGATCAAAGACAGCTAGCTGGCCTGTCTTTTCATATATTCTACTTTCAGTAGTAACTAATGGGAATGGAGCGAGTCGTCATTTAATTGACAGACGACAGGATATATCATGTTTACTAAGCTAAATGTGGTGTAAATTGGGGAAAGTCACACGAGCCTCATTCTGAGATTTCGTCAACCATCACTCCGTTTTGTGCTGATGAATTGGTGTTATATAATTGATATTTTTCTTTACTAATAAACATCATATGATTGTTGTCACTTTCCACCTTCATCAAATGTAACGTTTACTTCTTATACACCTTACAAAGTGTACATATATAGAACTGTCCTTGGAAGTATCTCTGTCTCGCACACACACACACCTACATTCTATGTAACGAAAAACAGAACTGTTTGGTATTTTATGAATAATACAACTATAGAAAACAACTAAACTTAAGAAAATGAATTTTTACATTTAAAAAAATTTATTTAACGACGAATTTGTTTACTTTTAAACGATTAGTTGTATATTCATCCGTAGATTGCGTGAAAAAATACATCTGTGGTAAGTGTGACATAAAAATTGTCGGGTTGTTTTTTCTTCGTTATGGATAACATTGGGTCTGTGGGACACGTGCATTTCGTCTTATTTTAAGACTCGTCAATTAGGTACACCTTTGTCCCTATAAATCAGTGGTGGTAGTGCATCTCCACTGAGACCTTTAAACCAAGCACCTCTGTCGTTTCGAACGTCGGAACTTTTGACTAGTTGAGTAACTAACAAATGATGTCTGTGTGTTGAGTGAGTTCTGTCTCTCTTTGCCTCGATCAGCCTTCGAAACGATGCATCCTGGGTTTGAGTCACTCATGATTTGGAAACTATCATGCACTGGGATAGAGAGGTGGTACATCTATCTGACGAGTCACAAACTGGAAACCATCCGCCCTCTGGACTACATTATTAAATGTCGCCAACTGAATTACTTTATATTCATATCAGTGCCATGTCGACGCGTCTATCCTCAGAGCCTGTTAGGGATTCTGGAGCATTTTGGTTGACGGGAGTATATTCAAAGGAATTCTCTAACGAATAAGTCATAAAAAAATAATGTCTTAGTGCAAAAGACACCTAAAATGTAACGGCAATTAATATTTCTGTCCGTTGAAGTTACGTTTCTTACAAAATTGACCATATATGCCTGCGTTCTATCTCCCGTGATAGGTGGTGTGTGGTACAATAGGGTGAGTAATATTGTGGTTAGGCATCAATCGAGTGTGCTAGTTAGGGAGGGGAAATCAATCGACGAGGTTGTGAAGTTACATCGATTGAGGGAGATGGTTAGGATATGTGTTACGCCTGTCTTACCTTGACTAGCCTAGTCTAGTCCTAGGCATCAATGGCTTTCCTCGACAACCTGAATTGTTAGCTGCCAACACATAAGGAAGGATCAGGTTGCTGGGAAAGAGTTAGTGTTTGGTGGCGTTCAAACTAAAATATGACTTCGCCAGTCAATCAGATACATAATAGTTTAAGCCAGCGATATGTAGACTTCGTGATGGTTAAGGTCCTCGTGATGGTAGGAACTAATGAAGACTGGAGACAATTATCATTGGTGATATAGCTCAAAATCGATCTCTCTCCTGAAGATAATTTGACATATTCAATAAAATTCTATTGTTTTTTTCCCACTGATACTTCTGTTTATCATCTGTCTTTGGCAGCTCTCTTTACTCTTTTCTATTTCTTTGTGTGCTTCATCGAGGAAGAGTGACAGGTGGAATAGGTACTGTCTGTCTGTCTGGAATAGGTACACATCTTTGCAAAGTTGAAACCAGTTAGTCAGTGAGTCAGTCACAAAATTATTAGTTATTATTAAATGTAAGCTTTATTTTTATCAACATGTAAATGACTTTTGAATATATATATATATATATTCTGGTTTGTTATTTTCTAGCTATCCGGTGGACGTAGTTATGATGTATCGAAACGATCAGAACGCTATGATCATCATCATCATCATAATGCTTGTGAGTTGATGTACTTACCTTATCATTCAATATATTTATTTGATGGGATACCCACTCTTCCCATTTCTCTTTGATTTCATTACAGATGTACTAATCGACTTAACACTTACTGACTTTAGCAACTTAAGGATTGACGTGGTACTACCTGGAAACAGCCTTGTGAACCTCAAACATTTGAATGACATTGTACCCGTTGGTGAAGATGTAGATGAAATGAAGAGTTTTCCCAACACCTTGGACAGCGAACAGTATTCGAATTTTTGGTGATTCCTCGCTATCAAATAGAAAATAATACTTCTGAGGACTGGTCTCCCCTGAAGGACTAACAGGTTAAATGTAAGGAGTAAAGGGGTTGATTGTTGCACTTGCCCTGATGGACTGATCACTGATACATTCTCAGAACACATACAAAAAGTTGATGTAAAAATTCTCCAAATTACTCCAGTCCTCTGTCGTAGATGTGATATATATCCAGTGGGTTATTGATCAAAGAACGTGTATATCGGCTTGGAAGTTTGCTCTTTTATGACTGTGAGTGAGACATGGCCATTGAAAGTGGCCGACAACTGCTACCTTGTCGTGGTGGTCGGGCTTGAATACCACAGTGATCCAACAAGCTAAACTGGCTGGAACTCATGTCCCTGCAGGTTTTACCATGTCAGGAAGGTTGTTTGGATAACGGTTATACACAAAAAGCAGTTACCATGGGGAACATGGGCACCAAAATCCAATCCGATCAAATGGCAAATGAACGTATATTAGTCACCGGCAACCATTGGAATGCAGCTCCTGACACTGCTCTGCTGCCTTGTGGATTAGACTCCAAGTCAAAGGCTCGGAGGGTGGTCCCTTAAGAAAACCACCTGGTTCGGTCTGGGCGCTCGGGCAGTATCTCAACCCTCACACAACAAATGAAATTTAGTGTGGCGCATCTTTCATGGTGCCATATTGTACCAAGTTTTTTTCTGCGTTTAAATAAATAAATAAGAATAAATAAATTGAAAGTGGAAGATATGAAAAGTCTGCTAGCTGTCTTTGGGGTATGCGTTGAGGAGACTGTCGAATGACATAGCGTGCTAGTCAGTCCATCACTCTAGTGTGGGACTCAAGTAGGAAACGACGAGTTCTTGGGCTTGGACCCACTAGTGTGACATAGAGGAGATCGTTTGGATAACAGATTATGAGAGATTGTCGACAATCGTGGACCCAAATAAAGAGGAGAGTAGGAAATGCGTCGGCGACACAGCGGTTATCACTCTCGCCGATCATGCACATGGTCCGGGGTTCGATCCCCTACCGACGCACACCTGATATCTATGGTTGGCCTGCAAAATTTGGGCTACCGATATCACATGCTGAAAATTCCATACTTGTACCAAAAATACAGTGTGGAATCAAACTATAATCAAAAATAAAAAAGTCGAACAAAGTGGCTATGTGTTGTTGAAAGCCTATGTTCCACTTGGTACCTGAAGGAATAATAATAATAATGCCTTATTTACTGACTGACTCTAAGAGGTTTGCACTAGCTGCGAAGACACTTTAACGTTTGATGTATGATGCTTGTTGAGATTCGAATTTCAATATGGAGACTAACACTCACGTCTCCTGACCTTGTCGTTTTTTGTTGGGGCTTACACACAGCCAGCTGATAAACTAGGTGACCCTTAGGAATAGCGCATCAGTGTATCCGGAATTGAACCCAGGACCATGTCGCCGTGCTTTACTGGTAAGCATTCTACTTACTGCATTGTAAACCACCGAGGAATTCCGATGTCTGTCATTATTATATTTATATTTTTATATTTTTGATTACAGCTTGATTCCACACTGTATTTTTGGTACAAGTACGGAATTTTTAGCGTGGATATCGGTAGCCCAAAATTCGCAGGCCGACCACAGATATCAGGTGTGCGTCGGCGTGGGTTCGAACCCCGGACCATGTGCATGGTCGGCGAGAGTCCTAACCACTGTGCCACCGACGCACAGTATCATCACTAGTATCGATTCTTATTTGAATTCAATTTTTTGCCCGATTTTGTTTGTTTCCCCTGCAGCCTATCCTAAGAAATCTGTTAATCCTTATGAGCTAGTATTCCTAAAGTTCCCTGCCTTCAAAGCATTCTCAGAGATTCCAGTGAAATCGAATTATCATTCGTTCAATTTTTCAATGAAACCAACAACAACAACAACACTGAACAGACATCCTGTCCCACTGGCAGGCAATGAGGATGATGTTGATGTTGACGATAATGAAAACAATATCAGTAATATGAATAATAATAATAATAATAACAATAATAATAAACAGAAAAATAACAATCATGACTTTGGGGATGATGATGATGATGACGATGACGATTCTGCTCATAATCGAAATGTTTTTCTCCAACCAGTTGTTGTTGTCTCCTCATCATTAATGAGTAGTCCATTTGTTACAGCTGTTGGACCATATTGTCTCCCGAAGGATAAACGTCATCGTCGATATATTCTTAATCATTTACCTGCTGATCAAGAATTAATTACTGGTCGGAATACAGAATCAATTTTTGCTAAAAATAATTCTGTTAAATTTAATACTAAATATGAAGATGAGAAAAGGAAGTTTTGGACACGTGGACGAGATAAATCAGCTTACTATGGTTAGTCTTCTTTTGTTTTGTGAAGTTTTTTCAAGAAAAACATGTTGGTTTGAGAATATGTCTGTCTGTCTGTCTATCTGTTTTCGACATAGAACTTTGCACCGATGTGCACCAGTTCAAGTCGCCACACTCCACTCCTTGTAGCACGCAAAGCAACAGAAGAAAGTAGAAGAAATTCATATTAGAGACAGTAAACAGAGGTGTGAAACAAAGGAATAGTAATAACAAAGAACAATAGAGTTTCACTGGAAATCATAAGTCACAAGGAGTAGATGCATCTGCAACAGCCATTGACAACGAGGATTTTGAGCCATATCACCAATTGTTTCCAACCATTGGTTTTAACCGTCCCGAGGACCCCAACCAGCCAGTCAGGAAGTCTACACCTTCCTACGTGACTAGCCTAAACTAACTGTTGTAGATTTCATTTACTGATGAAGCCATGTTTCGGTTTGACCACCGCTAGCTCTTTTCCATCCTGACCCTCTATGTCAGCTTACATTACCCGTCAGTCGAGGAAGGCGATGACTAGGCATACGTAACACATGTCTTAACCATCTCAGTCGATGTAATTTCACAGCCTCGTTGATTGATTTCCTCTCCCACCTACCTAGCACTCGACCTAGGCCTAACCTCAATATTGCTCACCTTATTATACCACTTCACATGGGAGATATGTACACACAGGTTATCATGAGATGCTTCACTGACTGACGGGGGATTTTACACCTCCCTAGTGACTGGCTTAAACTAAGTGTTATGGATTTAATTGACTGATGAAGCCATGCTTTCGTTTGACCACCACCACAACTAGGTCTTTCCCAACAACCTGATTCATCCTATGTTGGTAGCTGACATTGTTCTTTGTCACGGAAGGCGGTGTATAATGAGGCTAGGTACGACAAGGTATGGGTAACGCATGTCCTCACCATCTCTTTCAATTTATGTAACTTCACAACTCCACCGAATTAGTCGGCAGTGAACAGAACTTAACTGGCTAGCATTGGCGGCTATAAACGCGTGGTGGCCAAATGTGAGAGTATTTCAGAGAGGACAACTGAAATCTACCCACCTTCCGCTGTAACAGAGCCCTTATATGGTGACTCTCATGCTTCCTCAACTTGAAATCCAAGTACTGTGAGCACGTTTCCTTTTCCTACAGGTCGTTGTTTCAACTCAGTTAGTAGAAAAAGCCTTCCATGTTCTAGTCTGTGAGTCACACTAATTGTGTGTGTGTGTGTTTGAACTGATGAAACTATTCAGTTTATTCCATGCTGTAAACTGAGTGCGACAGGATTCGAATCCAGTTCCCACTGACTACTGAATGTCAAAGGCTTAAGCCAATGAGCCACAAACCGTGCTGGTTACTTGCTTAATTCATTTTAGATTTTCACGTCGATTAATTGAACCGAAGTTCTCTGGGTTTTAGGTTGACGTTTCGGCTCCTTGTGTAGAGGCTGTGACGATGTCTGGTCATGTAGCCTGAGGTCAGTTGTTGGGTAGTGACTAGCAGTGGAATCCAGGATGCGTGTTCCGTCTTATTCGAGACTTACTCATCAGATGCATATACCTGTATTCTCCAGTGAATGATGGTGTTTTCTCACCATGACCACGAGAGCCACCTCTTGTGCAACGGGTCTTGTTAATTATTTATTTCAATTTAGATTTATTATAGGCACTGGGTTCGAACCTCGGGGGAAACACCATCCACTAATCACTGGGGAATGTAGGTACATCCAGTTGACGAGTTCTAGACAGGACGAAATGTGCATCCTGGATTCCACTGCCAGTCAGTCACCATCCACGACCAATCAGCTTCATTCTGGTCAAGTTATAATGTCTTTTTATTCTAATTCACTTCACATGTCATTCATTAATCAAGTGAATAATCATTTTGCACCAGCATATAATAGACTAAAAATAAAATACATGCATACAGCAAAAATGACTACTCTTCATTTTTCACTTGTATTATTTCATGTCATCCAGACAACATCTGATGTTGAATATCTCCCTGCCTCCGTCCTTTCCTACCGCTCTGTCTCTCTCTCTCTTTGGTTAGTCGACATCGTTGTGGTATCTTTCTTTCTTTCTCCGTTTTTGTTATTCAGTGCATTGTCTTACATCATCTGTTCTGTTTGTGCGCTTGTTTGTTTGTGTAAATTGAGTGCAAATTTCTCAAATATATTGACATATTGATTGATCAATAAATTAATGAAAAATAGATGGATGCATAGATAGAGCCAGATGAACTGTTTCTTGTCTTGTGACACACACAGACACACACATACAATCACTCTTTTAATCACAGTCAATAATGTCGATCAGTTCATTCATTCTGTGGTGATCTGTTTCTCTTAATGGTCGTAGTAGCCGTAGTAGTAGTAATTTGTTTTGTTGACGGGTGGCAGAGTTTTCGATGACTAATCAGCCAACCGCACAATGACCTTTTTTAGATTTAATCATTACGTAATAACAATTGTCTAGTGTGGGTTGGTTTTGGATTTTTTAAAATTCATGTCATCAAAAGATGGAGAAGAAATTTGTCATTATGTGTTCAATATATATCTGCAGTCTAGACTGTGACACTATAAAACCTTCTGTTTTATTTGAAAAAAGTATGAACAATAACCTTTTTTTAATTTGACTTGCTTTTATCAACGATATATACATGTATACATGTAAAATGTTACCCAGTGTGTTGGATGTTTACAAAGATTTGATTGGCCACAGGTGTTTGATCACAAACTGATTGACATCAGTTAGAGAACTATTAGAAAATCACCAGGGAGTACTGGACAACTACCTGTTTCGTCCTTGTTGTTTATGATTCTTCATCTTAAATAGAGTCAACTTCATCACTCGTTGACCGCTTCACTTATATGGGGAGTACCATCAGCCAGTGCCAACGGGTTGATCTCTGAAGAAATCTCAGTACAGATACAGAGGGCTAGTTTTGCATATGTCAGTTTACACCGTCTCTGGCGTAGACGAGATATCCGGTGGGCTATCGACCAAAGGGCGGGTGTACTGCTCACCAGTCCCCTCCGTCCTCCTATATCGCTGTGAGTGAGACCTGGTCATTGAAAGTGAAAGACATGAAAAGATTAGCTGTCCTTGATCATAGTTACCTGGGTTCTATTTCCTGTGTGAAGTGGTATAATAAGGTGAGCAATATTGAGGTTAGGCGTTGAGTTCTAGGTAAGAAGGGGAGATCAACAGACGAGGTTGTGAAGTTACAAAGACTGAGATGGTTAGGACATGTGTTACGTATGGATAGTCATCGCCTTCATCGACAACGGCCAATGTTAGCTGACATAGGGTCAGGCTGGAAAAGAGCTAGCGGCGGTCAAACCAAAACATGGCTTCATCAGTCAATGAAATCTACAACAGTTAGTTTAGGCTAGTCACGTAGGAAGGTGTAGACTTCCTGACTGCTGGTTGGGTCCTCGGGACGGTAAAAACCAATGGTTGGAAACAATTGGTGATATGGCTCAAAATCCTCGTTGTCAATGGCTGTTGCAGATGCATCTACTCCTTGTGACTTATGATTTCCAGTGAAACTCTATTGTTCTTTGTTATTACTATTCGTTTGTCTCACACCTCTGTTTACTGTCTCTATTATGCATTAACACCTCCAACTGGTGAAAAATGACGCCGCTATTAAAACTTCAAGGCTACACATATTTCCTTCCATAATTGATTGATTGATTGTTTAGCTACTGAGTTGTATTCATTGAATATTTTACTTCGGCAAATTCACTACTAATCCCACTAATTGTTTCCCCCTTTTTTATTCAGATGGTACACGTTCGGACACTTCTGAGGCAACAACAACGACAACAACAGATCCTTCCATTTATAGTCATAGTGTTTCATCTCAAATCTCTGAATTATCTCTGAATAGTAATAACAATAGTAATAATACAGGAGACGAGAAATCGCATTCATCCAACAATCTGATTCGTTCAAATAAAATTCTACGTGGATTTAAACAATGGTTAAATCGTCCTGTTGGCGGGGGATTGAATAGTACTGTCAACTCGAATAATGTATCAGCAAATCATACTACTACTACTAACCATACTACTACTAATACTAATAACAGTATAAATAGTGCGATACATTCCAGTTGTAATACTATTGCTAGTGGTATCGTCCACACGTTTAATAATAGTAATCACAATGTCAATGGTACTACAAACTATAATCCTTCAGAGATATCTTCAACAGATCCCTTACAGTTTTCAGATTCTCCAAATAATGAGTATAAATTAACTTCCTTAACAGCAGGTGGTAAGCACTGTGATTTGTTTGATTCAGTGTGCGTATTATCATGCGATTTTTGTACTCATAATTGTACTCACATGCACACACACACAACATTGATGTTGTTTGTGGTAATATCCGTTAGGTATTATAGCTTTTGACCGATCTTCGATTTTTATACGTTATGTCATTCCTACATAGTAAGCTGGACTCAAGAAAAGTAAATAATGTGCGAATAAAATCGCAAAGCACCACATTTCGTCGTCGTCGTCATCATCATCATTGAACAGAGCATAGAAACCTGGAAAAAACCTTTGATGGATATATCGTCAACTGCGAAGTGATTTGGAAACTTCTTCTGCATCATGAAGTGCCTCAAGAGCCTTTATAAACTTTATTCAGCAACTATGTAATGATGTCACATACCAAGTGATTTATGAGGGAAAAGTCATTGAAGGCGGGGGGGGGGTGGAGTGTGCAAACAAAAGCTGTCTACTATCACCAATGAAATATTCCTGATTTTAGTGGACTGACTGGATCACTCAACAGACTGTGAAGAGAGATAGAAGACAGGAATACGATGGAGTGTCTAGGATTTGGATTTCACAGAAGATTTATGTCTTATATCAGACGAAAACCAAAAATTCGGAAGAAGAAAAAGAACAAGCAGCAGCGAAGAGGAAACTCCAAATGGGCATAGAAAAGGCAGGAGGCGGTAATTAATGAAGATGTCTAATCACCTTTTCTCTTCTCTAGACTGCATCGTTTGAGCTGTAAGTGGTGGCACAGCTGAAAATGTCAAAGCTAGAATCGGAAAGATAAGGCAAACTTTCATTACATATTGAGTGACAAGTGTTTGAATATATGGTTAATTGTAGCACTCTTTATTGATCCACTGTTGCTTCTTCTTAGCCAGCCGAGATAATGTTCTTTGACTCTTTCCGATAAAACACGCATCGAACGACCCCATATATATATCGCGCTCCACATGAACAAGTAAGCTGCTAGATACACAGAAGTAGTCAAATGCGATAGTTTATCTTTAGAGTTGTTGAAGAACAGTGGGTAGTGTGAGAATACTAATAAAAGTATAGCAGCAGACAATGTTCTCTTCAGGGCGTTAGATATTCTCCTCTTTGGGATATTGGCCAGAAAGTCACCTTTGAACGCCACATTCATGTATAGCATCTTCTTCAGCACGGAGATGGGTTGTTCTTTGTTGATCTTCAGCTTTATATGTTTATCTTTAAAGAGTGATGGATAACCATTCTCAGGTAGTGTCCTCCTCAAAAGAGTGACCTCCTCTTCTACTGATTCAGGACTGCGAATTCTACGGTTTCTAGTTGTAAGAGGTATTATCAGATCCCGCTCGCGACTGATGCGTATCCAGCTGTAAAATTTTGTCAGCTGGCTGTTCCGCGTAGGATTTTGATATGCCGATCTGTTCAAAGTCTTCTTTGTTGGTCGAACGTCCAGAAATAAGATTGTCTGCACGTTCCCCGCTTCAATTGTAAGTTTGATGGCTGGGTGGCAGCTATTAGAAGCTTGAAGGACGTCATGTAGTTCACATTTGTTATCATATATGATAAAAATGTCATCAACGTACCTTTTTTCAGAGAAAAGTCGATTGTCGGTTTCAACGAATCATTTTCCAAACTTAAAATGGAAATATCTGCAAGTAACGGCCTAAAGGTGAATCCATAGTCACATCATCTTCTTGTCTCTTAATAGCGCCATTGAATGTGAATTGAACGTTAAAAGTGCATCTAAGTAGACGTTGTCTTCCAAGTACTTGCATGTTTTATCTAAAAGAGTTATAGAACAGTATCCTGCTTGATTGATGGATGATATCTAGCAGTATGCGCGTTTCGTCCTATTTGGGACTCTTCCGCCAGCCGGATGTACGTGCATTTCCCAGTCACTGAGTGATGATGTTCCCACCGAGTCTCGAATTCAGTGCCCATAGTTTCCAACGCCAAAGCGTTATCCACTAGACCATCACTTGGGCCACGAGAGCCACCTCTTGTGCAACGAGTCAATTTAATTGAATTGAATTTCAGATTTTCCCGTCGATTGATTGAACCGAGGTGCTCGGTCTCAGGTTGACATATCGGCTTCTTGTGGAGATGGCAGAGTCCCAAATAGGAAGAAATGACTATCCTAAATTTCACTGCTGGTCACCCTCCACCAATTAACTTCTAATTACATGCCCAGGCATTGTCGAAACACCTGCATAAGAAGCCGACATGTCAAGCTGAGACCAAGCACTTCGATCCAATCATCAAACGACGGGAAAATGTAAAATTCAATTAAAGTATCCTGCTTGGCTATGAAAAGGTAACACAGTTGATCAATAAGGATTACTATGATTGAACATATATTCAATACTAGCCACTAATGAATATGTGTAAGGCGAATTCATTCAAAGTCACCTAAAATGTTAAAAGAAGCTTTTCGAAATCGGTAATCTTCCGCATACTTTGCATTGTTCTGGCTATAGCCATCCGGATAGAAAAAACTTCATAACTCTGGAATCAGTGTGAAAATCTGTTCTATGTGGAGTATTATTCGGATTTTCAACACACTAATGTCAAGTTAGTCAATTCTTCTTCTAATATGGGTCAGAGACTTGGCGCACACGTGAAGGAAACCATTTCGAACAACAGGTTTGAGAATTCGCCTTCGCTAGCCAGGAACGATAAGCAACAAAGTAGACATTCTGTAAAAGAACCAATCAGGAAGCTATCGCCTAACAAGTATGGACATACTCTGGAGAGATTGTCGGGTGTGAAACGGTGACAAGTTGAACATATGACGATAACGGTGAAGATGTCTTGTTTGGAGGAGATATAAACTCATGGACAATCGTGGAGCCATCGAAAAACAACTGCAGAAAACATGATGAAATCGAGATGTGCTGTTGTAGTCATGTGTGTTCCACTGAGAAGCAGGGGGATTAATAGTGATTGCAGTAGATTGGATAATGAGACAGACAGCGGCGGGTAATGAGGAAACAGGCATAAAATGGACTCACACAAAAAACTTGGAGGATCTGGACTTCGCCGGTGTGATATATGTCTGATTTCCCATAAACTGGAAGATATGCAAGTGAAAAGCAACGAGCTGCCAGAAGAAGCATCCAGAGAAGATAGGACTTCAGGTGAACATAGAGAAAACAGAGGTGATGAAGATTCCTGGCCAACACCATCAGATGATAATCAGCATAAATAGGAGGAACCTGAAAGAAACAACCTCCTTTACCTACCGACCTACCTGGGAAGCATCGTTCTAACTACAGGCGGAACTGACGAGGATATCGAGTGGAACACGAAAGGGAAGCGGCGAGTTGGTCGTCATGTGAAGGGGGGATGAAAGCATGTGGGTTGCAGACTTGGAGCGGGGTGAAAAAGTTGGCAGAAAACCGAACGCGATGAAGACTTGGGCGGCTGAAGCCCTACACTCCTCTAGGAATTAAAGGATATAATAATAATACTGCAAGATCTAGTGGTGTGTAGCCGTGACATTCTCCTTTAGTTTTCTCTTTCTTCACCTTATCCCTCTTGTTTTTTTCTTAATGTCAAACTTCAATTTTTTATAAGTCAGACTTTTTAATCTTTCGTGTTTTTTAAAAAAAAAGATTAATTATATTTATCAAAGAATAAAAGTTTTTAATCTAAGGTGAGGGGGAAAAGGAATAGAAACAAAAAGAGAGTGTTTGTGTATAAGTAGGTGTGGGAGGTGTGTTTACTCCGGTTTTTGGGGATTAACTTATTTATGTTTCATGTGCAGGTCAGTGTTTACAGTATTTTTTTCTTTCTTTTTTTATCTTCCGATTTATTGTCACTTTTTCACCTGAAATAACAAATATTGTGGCTTAGGCTAGTCGTGTTATTTAGATCATTGTTATTTTTGTTATTATTTTTATTAGTGAAAATGGTGTGTATTCACTATGTGATAAAGTAGTGACGCGCGTAATAGAGAAACAAGGAATTTCAAAAGTACACAAAACATATTCATCATGCGTTATTGTTTAAATTATACGATGTTGTGTCCTTCTGAAATTGAAACTGTGAATTGAATTCCCCTTGTAGGATTTCCTACAAAAAACGCCGGCAGTAGGAGTTGTAACATATTTCCCCTTCCCCTGAAAAAACCCGGATATTTAGACAGGAATAAAAAACACTGCTATGAAACTACAATAAACCGGGGGGGAGGGGGCGGGATATGAAGGAGTAACAATAATCGCATAGTCAGATGCTTCAATGACTGACCAGGAAGTTTACACCTCCCTACATAGCTAGCTGACTAAATGTTATGGATTTCATTGACTGATGAAGCCATGTTTCGGTTTGACCACCACCAACCACTAGCTCTTTCCCAACAACCTGATCAATCATATATCAGCCAAGTAACATTGCCCGTTGTCGAGGAAGGCGATCGATGGTTAGGGCGGATGTACGCGTGACACATGTCCTAACCACGTCTTTCTCAGTTAGCGTAACTTCACAACCTGGTCAATTGATTTCTCCTCAATGACTTAGTTAACATTCGACCGATGTCTCACCTCAATATTCCTAACCTTATTGTATTACGCCACCTGAGACGGAAGATAGAACGCAGTCACCTATAATCAAAGACAGCTAGCTAGCCTGTTTTTTTTCATGTTTATATGGCAGAGTCCTTCCAGAAGCGAAGACTAGCACAATGATAACATAGAGATATATAAATATTTACTAATAGTAATAGCCTTTTATTTCAGACAGTATATAACCACATAGGTGATTAAAAAACAGTAAAAAATGCAGCGTAGTTTAGACATGTATACATAAGCCATCAAGCTTTCTGTGGCGACGGTGTCATTCACGAGATGGTGGAACAGTTTGTCAGTCTCATACTCAATCTCCCCTTTTCTCCTAATTTACTGTCGGTCGCCGGAATTTGAATCCGCACCCCATATGCGTGGGTGACGGGTGTTCTACCTCTGAGCCACCTACACATTATACTAGATGGAAATTTAAGGAATCTGAGTGGTGGTTTAAGCAGACTGTCAATGTGTATTGTATTGATTGCCGATACAACCGTATTGCTCCGTGGTTTGCTATTTCACCATTTCAATGTACCTATGATCTTTAATTTGCCGACATTCAGAAGTGGTAAAGTTAGTGTTCTATCTATAGAAGTAGTCCAACGTATTTTGCTTTACATGTGTGTGTGTGTCTGTGTGGGAAAAAATCGTTGTATGCAGTCAGTTATCGTGAAGACGTTGAAACTATTTTTCGCCTTTTTTTTCTCCATCATAGTAGATCCTTCAAATCTGACTGATATGGATAATCCTGGTCCAATATTTGGCGCGCCATTAGAATCCCAGTTAGAAAGTCCAGATTACCCTGTAAGTCTTTTCACGTGTGTGTGTGTGTATATGTGTAAACTTCATTTCTATTTGAATAATGTAAGTTACATTAAATTTGTGTGACACAGTCAATTGTTAACTCTCCTGGCTGTAGTGATAAATAAAGACGTCATCACGAAATGATCTAAACTACTACTGGCTTCTGATAATTGTTCCAAGAGTTTCCAAATATTTTCAAGTGTTAGTTTGCGGGGATGATACTGAATTGATTTTAAGATTGATCACAAAGTGACTTCAGTTATAAAATCACTGAACGCCAGGGGGAGTACTGGTTAAATGTCTCATCCTTGTTTGGGACTCTTCTTCGGTAGTATACACCAATAACACTGCCAGGTATCGAATCCATGAACTTCATGTTGACCTATTCACAGCAGCAGAGACGGAATCCAAATTGCCCATCAATTCTAATTTCTGCTAATTCACGATAATGATAGCGCGGTCCGCGAGCTAATGTCATCGGTAAGTTTTTTTTTTCTCACACCAGACTCAGTGGATTCCGCCCTAGGCGACTTCATCTTCTTTCTAGTTAGTGGATCACTAGTAAATACTAGTTTCAAATACTCGAGGAATTTGAATTTTGACTATTGTGGAAAGACTGAAGCCATTTAGTAGTGTAGTCTTACTAACTTGTGTCAAGATTGGCATTAACATCGTCTTGCTATTGGATCGACGTCCGTTATATAACCCAGTCAACTGGAACTAAATGTTTTCATGTAGTAGGCCATGTTCGTGTGTGGTTGTTACTGCCCGGCCGCCCACACTGTGGAAGTTAGTTTTTTCTTGGGATACCCGAAACAGAAAGAGAATTAGTGTTGTGTGACCACAAGGCCCAAGGGGACAACTGTTTGAGGTGGTCAGTTACACACGACCCGTCTGAACTGGCTTTTTGGTTTGGTTGCGTATTAGTAATTAACTGCCGGCTACGGATCGCCGTAGGGTAAGTCGGGATGGTCATTTGTTTGGGTCGACCTTTTGTGGCCCCCTCTCTCCAAAGTGGAGAGACAGCGTAGCTGGTATTCTGATCATCTGCGGGAAACACCTCACTGCTGTTACTTCCCTGTTCCCCAGCAGTAAGACTTTGCCCACAGACCTCCAGCATAGTGTAAGGAAGAAAATCTTACATTATGCCGATGATAACTGCTTTTAGTCTAATCGCTATCCCAACAGCCTTCTTGGCATGGTAGGACCTGCAGGAACAATAGTTTCAGCCAGTGTAGCTTGTTGAGTCGTTGTGATATGCAATCCTGACCACCTCGTCAGTGTAGCAGCTATCGGTCGGGAGTAGGCCAAGTACTAGTATTTTAGCCAATGTATCCGCCGGTTTCAGTCTGAACTACTGAGAAATGTCGTCAGTTGTAGACTTCAACTCATTGTAGTTCCTATTACTACGAATCTACCAGCCTAATTATATTAATAACGTAGTTATTCCATACTGTACTATCAAGTTAAACTGCTACTACTCATCGTCGTCGTCGTAGTAGTAGTAGTTTCATGGAAGCCAACAATACATACTAGCAACAGTTTGTTTTTAGGGACTTGATTTGTTTCAAGCTTTGATTACCGATCGATGACATCAGTTAAAGAACCATTGTAACAGGAATGTCCTAGGTTTGAAACTCGGGGGGGGGGGGCGCGTACTGTCGATGAGTCCCAAACTAGGCTGACGAAACAGCTAGCTTGTCCAGTGATCATAGCTCTAAATAAATCAAACACCTACAAACTTACTCTTGAAAATTAATCTAACACTCGCTATTGGTTAACTGGCTACAGGACGGAATTTCCCTGTAGTTCTAGTTAGAAGTAATGACCTGTGGGTTCCAGCCTGTCGAAAGTGAGGACAAATTATTATTATTATTTATTATTGTATCCTTTAGTTCCTAGAGGAACATAGGGCTTCAGCTGCGCACCTCCATTGACTTCGGTTTTCTGACAACTTTTTCACCCTGCTCCAGGTCTGCCCACATGCTTTCATCTCCTCTTCACATGACCTCCTCCAAGTCACCCTTGGACGACCAACTCGCCGCCTCCCTTTCGGGTTCCACTCGAGGGCTTGTCTAGTGATGTCACTTGATGGTTTCCTCAGCGTATGGCCAATCCATCTCCATTTCTTTCTGCCTATTTGTTTCACAATCGGTTCCTGATTGGTTCGCTCCCAGAGATCCCTGTTGCTGATCTTTTCTGGCCATCTGATCTTGAGTATTGAGCGGAGACAGTTGTTAATGAAGGTTTGAAGTTTGTTTGAGATGCTCTTTATGACTCGCCAAGTCTCTGATCCGTATAGTAGCACTGACTTCACATTGGAGTTGAAAATCCGGATCTTATTTTTGATGCTGATTGCTGTTGACCTCCACACAGATTTGAGAGTAATGAAAGCTTGTCTTGCTTTTCCGATTCTGGCTTTGATGTCCTCGTCAGTTCCGCCTGTAGTTGAGACGATGCTTCCCAGGTAGGTGAAGGAGGTTGTTTCTTTCAGGTTCTTCCCATTTATGCTTATTGTGGTCTGTTGTTGCTGTTGATGTTGGCAAGGAATCTTCATCATCTCTGTTTTATCTATGTTCACGTGAAGTCCTATCTTTGATGCTTCTTCTGCCAACTTGTTACTTTTCATTTGCATATCTTCCAGTTTATGGGAAATCAGACATATATCATCGGCGAAATCCAGATCCTCCAAGTCTTTTGTGTCAGTCCATTTTATGCCTGTTCCCTCGTTGGTTGCCGTTGTCTGTCGCATTATCCAATCAATTGCAATCAGGAAGATCATTGGTGATAGTAGACAGCCTTGCCTCACTCCCGTCCTCACTTCGAAGGCTTCCGTAAGTTTCCCGTTGTGGATTACTTGGCATGCAGCATTGTCGTATAACTGTTGGATGAGGTGTATAATTGTCGATGGGACCCCGTAGTAGCGAAGTAGTTTCCAAATGACCTCTCGATCGACGCTGTCGAAGGCCTTTTCAAAGTCGATGAAGTTGAGATAGAGAGGTGACTGCCATTCCAAGCTTTGTTCAATGATGATCCGTAGAGTGGCGATTTGATCAATACATGATTTGTTTCTCCTGAATCCAGCCTGTTCCGGACGAAGTTTTTCATCTAGGGCTTGTTTGATTCTCTCCAGGATGATGCGACTTAGTATCTTGCTTGGAATGGACAGAAGCATAATTCCACGCCAGTTTTTACATTGACTTAAGTCTCCTTTCTTTGGAAGTTTGAATAAGTAACTGTTCTTCCAATCCTCGGGTACTTTGCCCTCTTTCCACACCTTCTCCAGTAGTGGTGTCATCAAGTCCGCTGTTGTCTCTGGGTCTATTTTCAAAGCCTCTGCTGGGATTCCATCTGGTCCCGGTGTTTTCCCAGTTTTAAGCATCTTGATTGCATTCAGGACTTCTGATTTCGTCGGGGGGTCAGTGTTCACTGGTAGTTCTGCTTCCGTTGTTGGTATTGCTGGACGTGTTGTAGGTGGCGGACGATTTAGAAGTCTTTTGAAGTGTTCAACCCAGTGCTTTCTCTGTTCCACCTCTTTGGTGATTGACTTTCCATTGTCGTCCTTTATTGGCTTAATCTGTGTCGAACGTTTGCCCGAAAGGTTCCTAGTTGTTTGGTAGAGTGTGGCGAGGTCTCCTTTGCCTGCAGCTTGTTCTGCTTCGTTTGCCATGGTTTCATAATATTTTCTTTTGTCTTCCCTGGCACTTTTCTTCACTCTTTTGTTCAGTGTATTGTAGCTTGCATTCAGCTCCTGTTTTTGTTGCTCGTCCGTGCACTGGATAATCTTTTGCTTCACTGTCCTTCTCTCTTCTATTAGTTTCCAAGTGTCCGTAGTGAGCCACTGTTTGTCCTGTCTCTTTTTTCTGCCTAGAATTTCTATGCAGGTTTGGCTCCACACCGTTTTCAAGTTGTTCCAGTGCTTTTCAACGCCGACCTCTTCGCTAGTGTTGATTTGTGTCTCGGCTTTGTCCTTTATGCTTGCAATGAAGATGTCCTTTGTAGCCTGGTCCTTCAGCTTTTGAGTGTTGAACTTGGCTTGTGGTCTATCTGCAGCTCCTGATTCCCTGAAAGCTTTTAATTTGATTTGGATTGTCCCTTGTACGAGATAGTGGTCTGAGCCAACGTCTGCTCCTCTTCTTGCTTTTGTGTCCAGTAGGCTGCGCCTCCACTTCCTTGAGATTGAGATGAAGTCGATTTGGTTTTTGGTTTGCCCGTCTGGTGACACCCATGTAGCCTTGTGGATATCTTTGTGCTTGTATACACTGCCACCAATCACCAGTTCGTTGAAGGCGCAGAAGTCGGCGAAGAGTTCTCCGTTTTCATTCATTTCTCCTAGAGCTTCTCTACCCATGATGAGTTCCCTTCCCGTATTGTCTGGTCCCAGTTTGGCGTTCATGTCTCCCATTAGTATTTTCATGTCGCCAGCTGGAGTATTGTCCATTGTTGCCTGTAGTTGCCTGTAGAATTCTTCTTTCTTCTCGAGGTCTGCGTTGTTTGTGGGTGCATAACATTGTATGATTGACACTTTCCTTCCTTTGGAGTTGAACCTGGCGGTCATTATCCTGGACGAAATCGCCTCCCATTGTATCAGGGCTTTCGTTGCCGTTGGTGACATCATGATAGCCACGCCCTCGGTGTGCGTGTGGTTATCTTCTGGGTGACCGGAGTAGATCACTGACTCACCTGTTGACAATTTGGTGAGTCCACTCCCATTCCATCTGCTCTCACATATTCCCAGCACTTGTATTCCGTATCTTTTCATCTCGTTGGCGATCTGGGCAGCTTTTCCAGTCTCGTACATAGTTCGAACGTTCCATGTTCCTACACAGACTTTTTCTTTTGGTGCAAGGAGGTTCAGCATACTGAAGTTCTGTAGCAATTTTTGTTTACAGGGTGGGGTTGCTAGCCTCACGCCTGAGAAAAGAATGATTACATTAAGTAAAAGTTTAGAGAGAAGCAACTTTTTGGGTTGCTCCCCTCAAAATCAGAAAATAACGGACAAACAATGAGAACAACATCAACAAAGGAAACAGTTCACAGAAAAAAGGGCAAAAAGCGACGACAACTATACAATAAGACAACATGCAATATAGTTCAGTATTTTAACTAAAATGATATCTTAACCATAAACTCACTGACTTGGAGCAACTTGAACATATAAATCCAACAATATATACAATTATAGATGTGTTTATGTTTAAAAATTCCACAAATCCAAACAGTGAGTTATGTGTATTATCTGTCAATAAGATTGTATTTTTTGGATTCAGTGTTCGAAAGGTTAATAATTGTGATAATTTCCGCAAACACTTTGCATAAAATTTTAGAGTAATAAGATATTTTATTTATGACCAAAATGTAGCGTAATAGTCGAAAAGCGCGCGTACTGATCGATATCAGGACAAATACTTGCCGTTAAAATTGGTTGCCGGTCACTCTAAAGCCATGAATTGTAAGAAGTCGGAATTCATGGGCTGGCCATTGAGTTAGATCCTAGTGGCTTAATAGTCTACAAGCTTGGGTTGTATCCGGCAGGTCCTAGGTTCAACCTCTAATGGTGAGTGTGTGCCGTCAATGAGTTCCAAACGAAACAAGTGACTGTCCAGTATCCCAGTGCTAGTTTTCTATGGTTCTCTAATTGATATCAATTATCCGTGATCAAAGGTTGAAATATGTACTTGCTTCGTATCAGATTCAATGGTAATATTTCCTCTTGTCTTGTTCTCTCAATCTTCTTTTTTGCCTATTTAGTGTGTCCCTCTCTTATTACAAGCTATTGTTATAGCACTAGAGATTCATGGCTTGAATTTACCCGGTTTGTATAGAAAACCAGGTCGTCATCGGACAATTTCACAATTTATCTCCTCTATTAATCTGGTAAGTTATATGAATGTATGTATGTATGAGTGGAGAATGTCACCTTCATATAAGTGTTTTTCTCATTAAAGGTTGTGAAACTCCCTCTTTTATAGACACTGGAACCAAGTTATCCACTTCCTCTGTCCGTTTTTTTCTCGGACATTTGAGATTTCCTGTCTGTCTGTTTTCGACATAGAACTTTGCACTGATGTGCAGCAGTTCACGTCGCCACACTCCCTCAGTGTAGCACACAAAGCAAGAAAAGAAAGTAGAAGAAATGCATAATAGAGACAGTAAACAGAGGTGTGAGACAAAGGAATAGTAATAACGAAGAACAATATAGTTTCATTAGAAATCATAAGTCACAAGGAGTGGATGCATCTGAGCCATTGAGAACGATTTTGAGTATTTCCTGAGATAATGCCATTCTTACTGTCTCTTATGTACGCACATAGCGTCTTCTAAATGGTGACGGGAGGGTGGGGGGGTGACTTACAGTCAAGTACAGGAAAAATCGCATGTGGTTGAAGATTTATATTTCTCAAATCTTTTAATGCAAACATGTTATTTTGAAGTAATGCGCTTTTCACATACACAAAGTAGGAATTTAGATGGGGAACTTACTGTGTAATTATCTTCATGGATGCTTTTTTCAATGACACGAGCCTTAGAAACTGTCTTCAGAATGTCTTCGTCTGAGGAAACTCCAAGCAGTTAGTGCCGTCTGACACATATCTACGTAAAACATTTAGAAAAGAGATGTCGCTAGACGATTTTTTTTATTCACATGGGTTCTTTCAAGTAAATAATAATAATAATAATTTGCTTTATTCTAAAACAGTACTTGTGATACAGAATGAAATTCTCAGCATTTTACTACAGTATCGCGCATCCAGTTAGTACATTAACAATAAGTAAAATTCTACATAGTTAAGGGTAATCTCAGTTAGTTTTGATAACAACACATTGGCATGTCGGTAGCAAAGCCAAAATTGAATATAGTGTTTGAAGGTGTAGAGGAAGTAGATGCTGGCATATTTCCTTGCCTAATCGGTAACAAAAAGGTCGAGATATACAGATTGTGAAAGAACGAAGAGTGTTTTAAGTAGAGATTGTACGGAAGAGAGAAACAAAGCAGAAAGAAAAACGTTGTACCTGTAAATGATATTATTTGGAGAGACGAGATCCAGTTGTTCTACTGACTATTTAATAAGTTAAAGGTTTCACGCCTAATGCTTTCTTTATCGCACAGAACACGAGGTAATCAGGGTATGGTTGAGTTTTTGTAATTGCTAGCGCGAGCATATGGTTTTCTATATAGAGAGTTGTGAATGAAGAGGGTGGTGTGAGTTAGATAGAATGGATTTAGCCGATTTTTCACATGAGTCCAAGTGCCTGTCAACCAGAATATTAACAAGCTGGTTAAGTGGCACATTGCTGACCCTGGTGACAACCTGCTGAAATGTAGAGGGCGTTGACAGTACACCGCCATTTCACACCCTGTTCTCCACAGTCTTTTTTTTAGCTGACTGGTTCCATGATCGCTCATAAGCCTTCATTTTCTCCTCCGTCGGATGCTTGTCCAACTTGTCGCCTCGTGTTCAGGTTCCACTTGAGGTCCTAACTGGTGTACAGTGTCATTCAACGGTCTCCTCAATGTATATCCAATCCAGTCCTATTTTTATTTTTTTTATTTTTTGATTACAGCTTAATTCCACACCGTATTTTTGGTACAAGTATGGAATTTTCAGCGTGGATATCGGTAGCCCAAATTTCACAGGCCGACCATAGATATCAGGTGTGCGTCGGCGTGGGCTCGAACCCCGGACCATGTGCATGGTCGACGAGAGTCCTAACCACTGTGCCACCTAATATGACCTACAATAATAAACATGTTATACAGTTTATCAGTTATATGAAATAAAAGGACATTTAGGATGAATAACCGAACACATTGTATGAGGTCAATTAGTTCAGAATAGGCAAAGATTGACATCGGCAAAGTTAAATTATTAACATAACCGTAACTACATTGACGCTGAACAGCCAATCAGAATTCAGATGAAAAAAAGTCGCATAATCGTTTAAAAAATACAATTAAAAAATATTGCAAACATAATATTACACTTTATATTTGTAGCTTCTGTGTTGTAAGAATGTCTTCCAGTCACTACACACACACACGCACAGATGATCATTTATTGAGAAAATTAAGAGATATTTTTAGATTTTTATGTGCATTACCATTGGCGTGATTGTTAGCAAAGAAGCAACCTCTTCTGATTGGTTGTTTTCTTGTTGAAGGTTATTCTGTTCTCATTTTGTGACTGTTTCTCGAAAAATCAAGTCATATATCTGTGATTCATATTTTCACACTTTAACTCTGCTGTGACTGATTGGTTGGTGATTTTATCAAGGTTATCAAGGACTTAGAATATGCAGATGACATAGTCCTGTTAGGGGAGGATGCTGACAAAATGCAGTCTTCTGAGCACCTTGAGCAGCAATCTTCGTATGTTTGGCATGCGATTCGCCCCTGCAAAATGTAAGATGCTGCTACAGGACTGGACTACGTCAACTCCTAGCTTAGTGATAGGAAGTGAAGTGATAGAACATATTGACCACTTCACCCATTTGGGAAGTTGTATCAGCACCAACGGACTGATGGGCGACGAAATGTCAGTACGGATCCAAAAATCTCGATCTGCTTTCTCTGACATACACCATCTCTGGCGTAGGCGTGACATCCGGTTATCAACCAAGGGACGTGTGTACTGCTCAGCACTTCGCTCCGTCCTTGTCTCTGAAACATGGCCAATACGAGTTGAAGACATGAAAAGGTTGACTGTTTTTGATCATAGATGTCTGCGATCTCTTTCTCACGTTAGGTGGTTTAATAAGGTAAGTAATGTTGACGTTAAGCGTAGAGTGTTGGGCGAAGAGGGAAAATCAATCGACGAGGCTATAAAGTTACACAGATTGAGATGGCTAGGTGATGTGCTGCGCATGTCTAACCATCGCCTCCCCTGACGGGCATTACTAGCTGATATAGGTTCAGGTTGGAAAAGAGCCAGTGGTGGCCAAACAAAAACATGGCATCAATCCATGAAATCCTTGACAGTTAAACTGAGTCAGGTAGGGAGATGCAGACTCCCGGGTTGGGGTCCTTGGGACTCTAGGAATCAATGGCTGGAGACAATAGGTGACATGGCTGAAAATCGTTGTCAATGGCCAGCGCAGATGTATTCAGTCTCTGTAATCTTTCATATTCATATTTCTACCATTACTCATTCTGTTTCACTCTTATACTTGTCAAACTCTATTGATTCTCTTCACTCATCATCTTCTTGTCTACCTTTGTGTGCTATTTGGAATGTGGTAACTCGAACTGGTGCGCTTCGGTGCCAAGTTCTATAATGAATCCAGACAGACAGACGGAAGCTTCGTTATTGTGTTTTTTTCTCATGACCGTGATTCGAGACATGAACATTGACGTAAATTGTTGTCTACAATTTTTGGCTTGCAACACGCTGTCACCACAATGGTACTTTGAGATGCATTGATATTTCTGACATTATTCTTGAACCTGCTCTTACTTTAACCATATTCCTAACTCCTAATCCTAACTTTAAAGCTGACCGTAGTCCTAGACCCAAAATCTTAATCTAAAATGCCATAGCCCTACTGTATCTACCCTCTCAATGTTTATTTAAAATGACATTTTATATCATTCCCTGATGAATCTGATCGCTTCTTGAAGGTCAACTTTTTGAAGGACCTTGACCTTGGGTGATGATACTTTAACTCTGCCGTTGATATCTATTGTTCTCTGTTCTACATATAGTAATAATATTAGTAATAATTTATAATTCATGTGATCACTACTTTCAAAAATGGTTTCCATCCCCTTTAATATTAACTTTGAATGAATATTAAAATTATGTCTGTCTGTCTGTCTGTTTTCGACATAGAACTTTGCACAAATGTGCGGAAGTTCAAGTCGCCACATTCCGTGTAGCACGCGAAGCAAGAGAAGAAAGTACAAGAAAAGCATAATAGAAACAGTGAGCAGAGGTGTGAGACAAAGGAGTAATAAAGAAATACAAAACAGTTTCATTAAAGATCATAAGTCACAGGGAGTGGATGCATCTGCGCCGGCCACTGAGAACGATTTTGAGCCATGTCACCAATTGTTTCCAACCATAGATTTTTACCGTCCAGAGGACCCCAGCCTGGAAGTCTACACCTTTCTACGTGGCTTAGACCAACTGTTGTGGATTTCATTGACTGATGCCAAGTTTTTGTTTGACCGCCGCTACCTTTTTTACAGCCTGACCCTATATCCGCTAACATTGCTCGTCGAGAGAGGCGATGACTTGGCATACGTAACACATGTCCTAACCATCTCAGTCGATGTAGCTTCACGACTTCGTCGATTGATTTCCCCTGTTTACCTAGAACTCTACGCCTAACCCCCATGTTGCTCACCTTATTATGCCACTTTACACGGGAAATAGAGCGCAGGCACCTATGATCAAAGGCAGCTAGTCTTTTCATGTCTTCCACTCTCAGTGGCCAGGTCTCACAACCATAAAGGAGGACGGAGCGGACTGATGAGCAGTACACCCGCCCTTTGGTCGATAGTCGAACATCTCGTCTACGCCAGAGTCGGCGTAAACTAACAAATGCGAAACGAGCCCCTTGTATTCGTGCTGAGATTGCGTCAGAGATCAGCCCGTTGGGGCTGATGGTACTTCCCAAATAAGTGAAGCGGTCAACGTGCTCTACCACTTCACTTCCTATTTTTAAACTAGGCGTCGATGTAGTCCAGTCCTGTAACATCATCTTGCATTTGGCGGGAGCGAATCGCATGCCAAACATTCGTAGATTGCGGCTCAAGGTGTTTAGAAGACTCTGCATTTCGTCAGCGTCTTCGCCTAGAAGGACTATATCGTCTGCATATTCCAAGTCAACGAGATTATTCCCCGGTAGCAAGTCAATTCCTGAGTCGCTGAAGTCACCTAGGGTTAAGTCCATTAACACATCTATGATGAAGTTGAATAGAAAATTATGTGAAATAATTGACAAACAGTCATTTCTAATTGACACAAAAATTAATAATAAATAACAATATGAACAATGCTGACTAGGCTTCTTTCTACATGTACGCAGATTAAGTACACTTTTGGTTGTGTGTGTGCGCCCTTCAAAGTGACCTAATAAACATTTTTTTTAAGGACACATGCTCTCTCTAGCCAACGATATTCAAATATTCTATTTAATTCATACTTATATTTATGTCCCCATAAGTATACGCATATGAAGAGTAGTCTACAGGAGTTTATTATTTTCAATCGTATGTATACACACGAAGAGAGAAAATATTTAACGGATTAGAGGAAATGGGATTTGGCGTAGAATGCAGCTAGCGCTTGATCACTCTTAAACTCTTTAAGTGATCTAATTCCATGATGTGAGGTTCACAGTTTCTCAAATTAATTTTTTTTTGCACAACACAGTTTACTTTGGACACGGGAAATTATTCAGATCACGCACACTGTATGTGATCTGCTTGAGAGCATATGAATTGTAATCAAGGAAGAAAGAATAAATGCGTAAAACTATTTATATATTACTAATTGACTGGGATAAGTAGCAGTTGTATACTACTCACATATCAACCAGTAGTGTTTTGCCACTGGGCAGATCGTATTGACACCTAAACAGACGCCGGACTGCTGTTTCTCTGGTTTGTGTGATCGTTCTCATCAGCGATGTATCCTGTTTGACCCAGGCCAGTTAAAAAAACCACCACGAATTCTGGCTGAAAACATGTTGCATCAAATTTTGCTGATTTGAATCTATGATTCCCCTATGTTCCTGTGTAATCATTGTTAATTTGTCTGTCTGTTTTTGACATAAAACTTTACACCGATGTGCACCAGTTCAAGTCGCCACACTCTATCCATGTAGCAAACAAAGTAAGAGAACAAAGTAGAAGAAATGCATATTAGAGACAGTAAACAGAGGTGTGAGACAAAGGAATACTAATAACGAGGAACAATATAAATTCATTCATTCGTTACTTTCTATTATTTTTTTCCCTTAACGTTCTCATTAGAAAATAGGCCTTCAAGCTGGAGAGAGCTTTGAAATTTCGCTAGCAGTGGTATTTATTTTTACGAGATGGGTTTACTAACCAGACTCATGCCTAACCTTCCCTCTTTACCAGTCTTATTACTGACTTAGCGAGGTAGAAGAGTGCGTTGACCAGCGATCGAATCTCGAACCAGGTGTAGTGTGGTAGGCGAGCATTCTACTGACGCTCCAATTCTCCAATTTAATGAAAACAAGACACCCTAGTTCAGAGAAAAGTCTCTCTTCGGTGGCGTATCCATTCTCACTTAGCTGTACAATCGCATTTATATTTAATTATTTTTGTATGTGTGTGTGTGTGTGTACATTAGGCTTGTCAGGCAAAAATAAAAATTAACTAGGGTTGTTGTTTTACTTCATCAAAATATTTCAAAAAAAATGTGATGAATCATTAAATTGTAACTAGGGGGAGGGGGTAAAGAGTACTAAGAGGGTAGGGATGATGAGTTGTCAAAAGATAGTTGTTAGTGTTAGTCAATGCATAAGAGAAGAGAAGTTGGATAAGTGTATTGTCGTTACGTAATCAGATGTATAATTTAATGAGTGAGTTTTGATTAAGATGGCCATAGAAATGAAAATATGGAGTTATGTAATAGTTGTAAAGATATAGGCAAAGTTAAACTTTCGACACCACTAGCTACCAATCAGCAAACGACCTTGAACGGACCAATCACATTAAATAGGCATATATGATGAATGGAAACGCATATTTATAGAAAAAAGCATAAAGAAGGATAAAACGGTTACAAGGAGTATCTTTCTCGAATATGTGAGAGAAACGTCCCCCAGTTTAGCATGTGACTGTCAGTGGCGAAGTCACAATACATCCTGTACTTATATTCATCTGAACGGCTGTAAATGTGATCCTTTCCAGATCCATTTATATCTGTTATCGTGTTTTTCAAGCGGCCCCGTAAACCTTCAGTGGAATTCGTATGAGTCCTCGTAACGGGATCCACGCAGCAAATAAGTGATTGTCTCTATTTTACACGAAGCAATATCTCTGCAATGCTGGTACCACTAAACTGTTGAGACAAGACTATTCTCAGTCTCGGCAGCTGCTGCTCTTACCGGCTGTTTCAACACCCAGTAATTGCAGATATACAAAATTTGGGTTAGGGAGAGATGTAACCTAGTGGAAAAATTTCCCACGAAATATTCAAATTATCAGCTTACCCTCTCTTATATTAGCATGCTTCAAACATATAGCACAACGATGAACAAACCCACCAGTTGATCTGCTATAGCTTTTTAAAGTCATGATACCAACACAAGAAAAAGTTCGCTCCTTCCGGAGCAATTTAAATCCAGGCAATACTGGAAAACACTAACCTCCTCAAATTGCAGCCGTAACCTTGTAAAATCACGCATTAGAAATGAATCAAGCGCTATACAACATTGAACTACGTTCGTGAATCTCATTGGATAATTCGCTGATTGGTAGTTAGTGGTGTCGAAAGTTTAACTTCGCCAAGATATACAAGAGCTATAAAGAATTAGAAAGGCAGGCACATAAACATCAAGTGAATAGAAATCAACATGGTTGTTGCCATGGTATAAGAAGTGGTTGAACAATTTTCTTTTGTATACATAACTCCGGTTTCTGCAACTGAATGGCTAAAGAGACAAAAGCGTATTGCCCTTTGTAAACTGTTCTTCACTTTGTAGATCACTCTGAAGGAGGCCTTTATTGATATGGAATGACTAGTCTTGGTTGACAAGATGTTCGATTGTCATACTCCTTATGAGGGCCACTACTGCCACCTTTTTCCAGCCATGCGGTGGGATAGTGTTCTTAAACCCTTTTAGACAAGATACGCGTCGAACGACTAATGTGTCTGGCTCCAAAGTAACGGGTGAACTGATGTATGCACATAGAAGCAGTTAGATGCGACATCTTGTCCTTAAGGCTTCTGTAGACCAAATGACAACTGGAGAACACTACTGATTGCATTGCTGCGAAGAATATTCTTCTTCAAAGATGCTGAAATTCTTCTCTTCAGAGGATACTTCAGGCTGTGTGTATCTCCCTTGAAATCCAGGTTCATGTAAAGTTTCTTTTTTAGATCAAGTAATGTTTCTTTCCTCCGAACTTTCGGTCTGATAATTTTTGTCGATGAATCTTGGTAGGTATCCATTTTGGATGAAGCCTTCTTTCAGACTATGGGGGTTCTGCTTCCAGGGCGTCTGATTTGTTGTTGTAATTGTTACGCTTTTCACTTTCTACATTATTTATTAATTCTTGTTGGTCATATCAATTTTTAGAAAAAAAAACACCATTTGTCACAATAAAAAACTCTTGTTCTTCCTCCTCTCTCTGTCTTTCATTAAAGCATCCCGACGATGTGAATTTTATTTTTGGATTGGATGCATGGAGAGAACCGAATGCATTGTGTGGATTATTTAAACACTTTCTACGACAACTACCTATGGGATTATTTTGTTTATGTAAGTCTATACACGTTTTCTTTTCTCTCTTTTCTTAAAGGTGTTTTTATTTTTTGTATTTTGAATCGATGGATAGAAAAATTGTTTGAATTTGTTTACTCAAGTGAATTTTTTAACTTTCCTTTTAGTTGACTATACCCAAGTGTTGTTTGTCCTGAGTTGTTAGCGTGTCCGTTCTTAGCACGAACGCTTCGGTAGCGGTGTCTGAGGATTATATCAATATGCTATTATTTCGTCCTATTTTATAACTCATCAACTGGATGGACGTGCCTGTAGTTATCAGTTAGGGATGTTGTCTAAGCGAGTCTCTCAAAGCATTAACACCCATGATTTCAAATATCAGAGGGGGAAAACCAGTAGACCACTCTTTTAGCGTTTTAAACGAATTAGCGCTGGATTCGAGTTTTAGTGAAAAAAGTATCCTCTCTCACTGATAATTACATGTACTTCCAATTGACTGAGAGATTCTAAATCAGACGAAATTTTCATCCTAGATATTCCACTGTTTTTCACCATTCCTCGAATGATGTTGATTATTTCACAAGTCAGTTTTTAAGTCAGATAAATCGTACTGTGTTTAGAGAAGTAATAATCCACTTGGATGCCAATGAAACCATGCCAAATCTATGCATTGATCCCATTTAGTCAACATGAAGCCACCGGTGGTTTGTTCCTTGAAAGTGTCCTTTACTAGATTGACTGACTGTGAATGAATTTCAACGTAGAACTTCGCACAGAAGCATAACAAACACTTCAAGTGTTGCCAGACTCTCTATGCAGTACGCAAATGTTGAGAAGAGATTGTTTTTAAAAGAATTCAAAAGAACTGTAAGTAGCGTGGAAAACCAACAAAGAGGAGCTGTTGGATCTGGGAGTGATTACAAACACTATGTGCATGATATATGGACCTAATTTTCTATATGTCGCTTTTACATGTCTATTTGTATTACTCTTTCCCCATTTATTGATTTGTGACTCAGTTTTCTCTCAGCCTATTTATGACCTTTGAAATCCTATTGGTTGTTCGATGTCTTAATCTGTCAATGACATTAGTGCTTCTCGAGGTCATTTTAAACATATATGTGGGCAAGCACTGTCAACCCTTTTTGGACTGTTGTTTTGAGACAGTGAAAGCTCTCTTACTAACGAGCAGTCTTTTCTCCTGTCCTTACGGTCCGGCCGTATTATTGTTATTCTTGTTTTTGTTGTTGACGTGTGATTAGGACAGAGTGCCGAGAGCATTAAGTTAGTATTCGCTCATAGTCTGCTAGGTCGTGGTTCCAGTCATAGCAATGCATCTCCGCCATTGTGAACGATTTTGAGTCATATTGTCAATGGTCAAGTTAAACTTTAAGCACCACTAACTATCAATCAGCAAATGACCATCAAACGCTAACTGAGCGAGCTAGCGAAACCTGGCAAATAATGTCATCATCAATTAAATGTGCTCATCGAAGTGTTATGTTATTAAATGAGAGGATATCTGTCAACTTTCAGCTTGGGTTTTGGAAAGATTAAGTTACGGTTTAGGCCAGGGACAAGTTTGGGGTTAGGTTAACCTAATAAAGGAGACATTAAGGTTGGTTAGAGTAAGATTACAGATAGTTTAGGGATATTTTCACGTTCGGGTTAGAAGACCTAAATAATTACATGTATAGAATGTGGTTAAATCACTCGAACCTAAAACTGAGAGCTATTTTCGTCGTATGTGAGAGAAGGGCATCCTCCGTAACACTTTTATACAGTTTTATGCATTTTTCTCATAAATAGATGTATACCATACACAAAAATACCTCTTTCACGTGATTGGTGCGTTCGAGGTCATTTACTGATTTGTAGTTAATGGTGCTTAAAGTTTAACTATGCCCATCAGTAGTCGCCAAACATTGATTCCTAGCGTCCAAGGTTTCCATCCATGCAATCTGCATTTCCCCACGTAGTCGGCTGAAACTAACAGTCAAGTGGCATCACGAACTAATGACGTGAATTGATCGACCCGAACTAATCCTACGTTAGCTGACTTTTTTTTACGAGGAAGGCTTGGCGTGCGTAATACATGTACGTGTCTTAGCCATCTGTATCACAACCTCATAGGATTGACTTCCCTTCCTTATCTAATTACATTCTACGCCAAAGCATTTACAAGCTACTTTTCTATATTATTTAGTTATCTGTAAACCGAGAACTGTGTAGTTGAAGCAATCTATCGAATCTAGTCTTAAAACTAATTGCTTTCACGTGTTGTTCATTTATTCGTGGGTTTTCGCTTGTTAACATGAAAAAGAGTATTTTAACTGCTTTCTATGTATATCACTTAGTTGGCATAAGCATCATATTATATTATTGTTACCTTGAGTTTCAAGTGTAACAGAGGGCTTCAGCAGCACATCTCCATTTTGTCGTCTTTTCAACAGTCCTTTGCATATGGTTTCACCACTGCCCGTAGGCTGTCATCTTTTGCTCTCCATACGGTCTCTCCATGTACCCCTGGAATCATGCCTAACTTGTTTCCCAATATAATTCCACTCGTAGTCTTGACACTCATGCGTTGTCATTTGACAGTCTCCTCAGGGTGTATCCGATCCCCCTTTATTTCCCTCAGCATATTTTTTTAAGCAACAGGTTCTTGTTCGGTTAATTCCTTCTGACTATTTGATCTTCAATATCGTTCGAGTGAAGCGGGCAGCTATTGATAAAAGTCTACAACCTTGTTGAAATTACTGTGGTGATGCGCCGAGTTTCTGAGTCGTATGGGAAGGCTAACTGACGTAAAATTGGTGTTTTAACTTGGAGTTTTGCTGTTTATGCTGAATTAGTGCAGAAAATTTCCTAACTGATTTCATCAGAATGGTGGAGGTCCGCTTTGCCTTTCTGATTCTAGCCTGCTTTGAAATCTTCATCCATTCCAACTGCCTGTATCTGAATCGATGCTTCCAAGCCAGATAAGTGAATGAGAAGTGAATGATCTCTTTCAAATTTATTCCCTTGGTGGTGATTAGCGCTTATTGATTGATTGATTGATTGTTTGGTTATCTTCACCACCTCTGTCTTCTCTATGTTCACTTGAAGTCCTACATTTGATGTCAATCTAGTGGTTTTCACCTGTGAGTGTTTCAGTAAATGTCTTAACATTAGGTATAAGTCATCCGCCAGATCCATATATTTTAGAGTCTTCCTGTCTGTCGAACGTATTCACGATGATAAAATTGGACTATTCTAATTCTTAAAAATTATAGAGAATTGTTTATGGTTATTTTAACTAAATAAGTGAAGATTGGTAATTGGCTAGAGTTACGTAATACAAAATCAATCAAGAAAATTAGGTACTAATGAAATTAGGGTGGTAACAAAGGTGATGAGTTGTCACCAAAACAGTTGTTAAAAAAATAAGTTGTGTAATAATATGAATAGTTTGATGAGTGAGTTTTACTCAGGATACACATAGGAACAAAGAAGAGAATAAAAAAATTACGTAAGAATTCTAAATGAATACAAGAATTATAAGCAATTAAAGAAACAGGCAAACAAATAAAATGGAGTCATCAAAATCAAAAAGGCTGTTACCAGTGGTGGTTGAGTAATTCTCTTTTGTATGCCGAGCTCCGGTTTTTATTATGTGAATGAATGACCACAGCTTCAGCGATACAAAGAAGGCAAAACCATATTGCCTTTGATGATAGGTTATTCTTGACTCTGTAGATTACTTTGAAGCAGGAGGCGTTTGTTGTTGAGATGGAATGATCAGTGTTAACAACTACTGCTTTTTGTATTACGTAACTCTATCCAATTACCAATCTCCATCTGTTTAGTTAAAATAACCTTAAGCAATTGTTTATTTTTGTTTGACAAACTTAATGTACACACACACTTACAAAATTATAGAGAATACTAATGAGACCATTTCTGATTACTTCTCTGGATCATGTTGTCTGATCTTGAATAGCAAGCAGCAATACACTGCTACTGGTGTTGACATGATTTGGTTGTTTCCAACTACTTACAACAGTGAATCAGTAGTATATATGTGCATTTACTCTTTTTTTATTATCATTTATGATTTAATCCTGATTAATTTGGTTTGTTGGGGGTTAGGGTTCCAAAAGGAAAAAAATGCAGTAGATTCCAAGTGATGCCTCTGCTTCTTCTTCTTATAAAGTCAAAGGAAGGATATGCTGTGCTGTTGATTGATTTTAGTTGTTATGTAACTCTGTGTGTGTAAAACTTTAGTTTGACTAGAAAAGTGCGGGTTATGTATGCTGGCAGATTTTTTTTGTGTGCGTCAATTAATTCTCTTCATCTCTGACTATCAATGACCAAATTCTGTATGTTACAATGTATATAATGCTGCATCTCAGTTACATCTCATGGCTTTATCTATAGTCATATGTGTGTGAGTGTGTGTGTGTATAGTACTGCTTGTTTTGACTTGATTACTCCCTCCCCCCTTCCTACCTCACTTACTCACACACCCTTTCGCGCGCTTGCTTACTCTTACACAAAAATATACATACATGTTATTTCAACAAAGACATTGACTGCATGTGTGTAAAGTGATGAACCCGTATATTATTACTGTTTAATGTATCCATTTATGAATGAGCAGCTTTATTTTAGTTTATCGGAAATCATTCATTCATTATGACATTGCTGTTATTCTGTTAAGACTATGATTTGATTGATGGTAATGATGACATTTGACGGTGGTCAGTGACCTCTACGCCTGTTGTGTTGTCGATAGTTGAAATTAATCACCGCTTTTACTCGACGAACAGTATTAACTGTCATTGATTCAGGTGGTTGGAAAATACTTAACCATAGTCACATAAAAAACCTGGCGGCATTTATCCATGAAGTTTTTGACAGCTGGTTTGTGAAAGCCACGTAGGCATGTGCATTTTATAAGAATTTTATTCTCGACAGTATTTATGTAATGTACATAATTTTGTTTCTCGCCTTCCCGATTCTCGCTCGATTTGACATCCTCATCCGTTCCGACTGCCTGTAGTTGAGACAATGCTTCCTAGCCAGATAAGTGAATGAAGTAACCTTTCAAATCCCTCCCGTTGATGGTGATTGTATTATTGCATTATATTTTCCCTTCCTACAATCAATATCTTCAAGTAAAATCTTAAAATTGACAGTTTATCCTTCCTGTGATGCAATGGTCTCTGAGCTCAGGAAGCACAAACCACATTCCATTATGATATATATCTGCTCTATCTCGTTCACGAAATCCACGATATCTAGCAGTGAAAGCCGGTTGTAAGATGTTCAGAAGTACATTTCTAGACGATAAGACAAAACAGAAGAACAGTTATCTCATGTATTGATTAGAACATGTCGCCACTCACAATCCGACCTTTCCTCAAGTTTAGTAGGGACTTGTAAATCAGAAGCTTGTAAGCATTTTAAATACACACACAAGAGTAGATAATACACCATTAGAAGTCATATCTTGGTCGATTAAAACAAAGCGAACGAGAGAAAATATATGCAATAGAGAGAGATGAAAGTTTTTGGTAGGATTAGTTTTAAGCAGGCCGAATTGCTTATTGTTATTAAATGCAAAAACTTGGCACGTTGTGTGCACACTTATAGATGTGCCAGGGCTGCCGAGACTGAAACAGGAGTGTATGTCTTAAAAGGATCACCTCCTGAGGTTTTGACTTGAAGTCCGAATAGGAACAACGTCAGCAGTTGTATTTCCGTGGTTCACGGTGATCTAAAGGAAGAGGTGCATACGATATGCGATCCCATTACATTCTTGAGCCCATGAATACTGTTGGTTTAGAATCACAGCTTTGCATATCCACCAGGCATTCGCACTCGCCCCACTACACTTTCGTGAGGAATACTCCAATGGTATGAAAGCAGTGGCTGGCAGAGATCATGAATGGGTGACCACATGTGAGAGAATTTTGAGTGGAAGAGCGAATGCTACCCACTCTCGGCTGTGCACCAAGTCCTTTGTGAGAACCAAGTACTCATATGACTTGCGACTGTTTGTGATACAACTCAAATCCATTTCAAATGTATCCACTCTTATCTGATCTCCTGGATCCGTTACATTCTCATTTTTGTTCCATGTTACTATTCTCCGTCGTGTGTATTTCTGCTCACATAACATGCCTTTTGAATCTCTTTTTTTCATATTCTACATAGAGTCTGGCAACTGGGATCGGTACACTTCTGTTTTGAAACTCAAATCAGTCAGTCAAAATAATTACTCCATTTACATCCTGACTTCATCTTGTTTTTAATTAATTAGGAAGCATTCCTCTTTTAACTATTTGACAATTTTCAAGTATTGGTTTTGTAGGGATTTTGTTTGATTGATTGGAGGATTTTATCATGAGCTGACATCAGTTAGGAAACCATTTCGTCCTAGTTTGTGACACTTCATCAGTACGCAACCACTACACTAAAGTTCGAACTCAGGACCTTCTGGTTGCAAGAACACTGGGACCCGATCCGATGGCCTGTCCATGAATTCTAACTCCTTTCAGTTAATGATATAGCGCAACCACTTTGCTATGTATTCTTTGATGAATTACTGCCTCACCTTCAATATGGTGTGTACCCTGCTGATCACGACTCCACTAGAACCCCAGGGCCCAGTCGCTAGTGAGCATCAGATTAATTTTCAAGTATCCTCCAACCAATCATGAAAGTGATTTGGCATTGTTTATAATATCGTCTGATCACTGGGGGTATTGTGTCTAGTCGTTAGGCGTCCTGACAGAATTTTACTTATCAATATGCAGTATAGCGGCTACTCTTGGAAACTCGCTACCATAGCTTATTTTAAATTGATATTGGATGGGTGAGGTGAATCGTCAGGATGTCGTCGACTTAAGCTTCATCATGGTTGATTGGTCTGCAGTCTTGCAGGAACTGATCCCACGCTGCAACCCGCTTTAAACTCGAACCTTCATTCTTTCTTATTCATTATTGTCGTAGTCGGTAGGGGAGTGTTATGATTACTTCCCTTTACTTTTTTTCCACTTCTCGAACTGATAGTGTGTATTTCATTAAATTAGATATCGTTATTTTGAAATATTTTTTTGAAAAAATTACAACTCATAAGAAGAAATAATTGGTTTATTTTCTCTTATTTAGCCTCTTGGGAACCGCTTGCTTGTCTAATCTCAGAAGCATCAAAATCTTTAGATGTACAACAGTTAGCCTATTTGCTAATTTCGATGCGTGTTCAATTGAAAAAGATTGCATTAGAGGTGAGTATAAAATACTCTTTATGGTTGTCTACTTTATATTTTGTTGAATGTGTGTTTATTCTTGACGTCTTCTGATTGATTATTGAAAGAGGCAATCTTTTCCTCTTTGAGTATTCTGAAGACAGCTTTGTTTTCCTAGATTCCAATGTCATTAGTTACCGTGACACTAGATGGTTGAAGACAATCGGTAAGAAGCCTTGGCTGTACCTAGATTTCGTGCTAGTTGGACCTTACCAGTCAGCAAGTCGTATCTGCAACCGTGTAGGAACTTATGTCCCTTCTGAGATTGGAATCAGCGCCACCCGGTGGGCTACCTGCAGTCAGAGATGTTACCACTAAGCTATTCGGACTCGCGATTGACCTCCTTTGGGAGTGTACTGGATAGTTTGATTGGACTCTAGTTATTAACTGTAGTGCAGTGTGCCCAATCCTTGCTGACGAATGCCAGCTAGCCCGAAGCCTAGGTCAGGCGATGCTTCTTGCCTATTGCCTGCAACCATCTAATATCCATTTAGAATATTCGCCACATTGCGAACTGGACTGACTGATAGAATTCAGTCTGCACCAAAGAAAGGGCTAGACACACACTCCACTAGTTACTAGCCTAGTGTCCAATCCAAGCAATCAGCTACCTTCTTTGCAAAAAGAAACCCTGAAATTTTTGGTGTAATTAGTGTACCCCATCATTGTTTAGAGTCTCCTTCACGCTTATTTCATAGTATAACTTATTTTGATATTTAGACGTTGATACAAGTCACTATCCATGCAGTAATATATTTTCCTCTACTTGTCAGTATTGGGTTTCAATTAGACCATATGAAAATCCATTCATCCTTCGGAATTTGGAAACTCGCCGCATTGCTGTTTTGTCTTTTCACACTAGTTCTATAGGCGTATAACAGTGAAATGTGTGAAATTCTCCAAATGCATTTACATTTAGTCAGTTAGTGTAATTAGGTCAAAACGCAGTTTCTTTCGACGGTGAACAACAGAATGACTATTTAATTGAATTTTAGATTTTCCCGTCGATTGGTTGGACCGAAGTGCTTGGTGTCAGATTGGCATGTATGTTGGCTTCTTGTGCAGATGCTTCGACAATGTAATTAGAAGTTAATTGGAATCCAGGATGCGCATTTCATCCTACTTGAGACTCGTCATCTGGATGTACCTGCATTTCCCAGTGAGTGATGATGTTCTCACCGAGGCTCGAACCCAGTGTCCATAGTTTCAAACGTCAAAGCGTTATTCACTAGACCACTTGGGCCACGAGAGTCATCTCTTGTACAGCGGGTCATATTATTTTATTTAATTGAATTTTAGACCGAACACTACAGTCCAATCAATCGATGGGAAAATCTAAAATTCAATTAAATAAAATAATATGACCCGTTTCACAAGAGGTGGCTCTCGTGGTTCAAGTGATCTAGTGGATAACGCTATGACGTTTGAAACTATGAGCACTGGGTTCGAGCCTCGGTGGGAACATCATCACTCACTGAGGAATACAGGTGCATCTAGCTGACAAGTCTCAAATAGGACGGAACGCGCGTTGTCCTGGATTCCACTGCTAGTCACCATCCACCAATTAAACAGAATGACTACTTTGAGATGTAGTCTATTGGATTAAGTGTAGTTGTGTCTTTCAGTGAGTAGATTCTAGGTTTGAATCCTGGACAATATGTCTCTTATGTTAGATTTTTGTGCTTACCATTATGTTATCTCAATTGCTTTGCATAGCGAGTGGAACATAAAACTTCAAGCTTGAGCTTCGGAGTTTCAGTAACATTGGTGTTTATTTCTTACGGAGTGAGGCTGCCAGCCTCACGTGTAACTTCCCCCGTCTTTACTGAACTCACTACCACCGATCAGATTTTGAATCCCGGACCACTTTAAGCAAATACTCTGCCACTGGTCCATTGTACATGAAATAAAATCTTTCTTATTCTTCAAGAGTTGATTTGTTTTTCAAGTTTGATATCAGGAACAGAACCAGTGAAAATCAGGGAGTACTGGACAGTTGTTTCGCCCTAGTTTGGGACTCTTCATCGGTATGCTCCCACCAGAAGGTCCTGGGTTCGGACCCCGGTGGATGCGTACTGCTGAAGAGTCCTAAACTAGGCTGACGAAACAGCTGTCCAGTACTCCCAGATTTTCCAATGGTTCTCTAACCAATATCAGCTTATGATGAAATCCTGTAACCAATCAAATCCCTACATACCAACACTTGAATAAAGATTCAAAATCCAATTATTTTTTCCACTATAAACACGATAATTAAGTTCCAGGAACTTTGCATACCAGAAAACTGCATAGAGAATGACTGACTACTGTTTTTTTTCAAGGGTTGCCTAAAAATCCCTCTAAAGGCATTGAGTAGTATCTGAAACCTCTTACGTCTACCTGAAATGTAGGTATTCTGTAGGTTCAAATCTCACATAAAGACTTGAAAGGGTTATGTATTTTAGAATGTCCTCGTGATATCCGGCTATCGACCAAAGGGCGGGTGTACTGCTCATCAGTCCGCTCCGTCCTCCTTTATGACTGTGAGATATGCTAGTCATTGAGAGTGGAAGACATGAAAAGATTGACTGTCTTTGATCATACGTGCCTGTGTTCTATCTTTCGTGTTAAGTGGTATAATAGGGTGAGCAATATTGAGGTTAGGCGTCGAGTGCTAGATAAGGAGGGGAAATCAGTCGATGAGATTGTGAAGGTACAAAGACTGAGATGGTTAGGACATGTGTTACGTATGACTAGTCATCGCCTTCCTCGACCCACGGGCAATGTTAGCTGACATAGGGTCAAGCTGGAAAAGAGCTAGCGGTGGTCAAACCAAAACATGGCTTCGTCTCAATGAAATCCACAACAGTCGGTTTAAGCCATGTAGGGAGGTGTAGACTGTCTGAGTGGTTGGGGTCCTTAGGACGGTAAAAGCCAATATAGTTGGAAACAATTGGTGACATGGCTCAAAATCGTTCTCAATGGTGCATAGGGATCCACTCCTTGTGACCTATAATACCCAATAAAACTATATTGTCCTTCGTTATCACTATTCCTTTGTCTCACACTTCTGTTTACTGTCTGTATTATGCATTTCTTCTACTTTGTTCTCTTGTTTTATGTGTTACATGGAGGGAGTGTGGCGACTTGAACTGGTGCACATCTGTGTAAAATTCTATGTTGAAAACAGACAGACAGATTTCTTCGTTCGTTCTTTAGTCGTTTTCAATAATTTTTACCCTACTCCCTAAATTACTCGGAAAAAAGTTTTCACTTATACATTTTGATTTTCTCTACCTGTTGGTTTTTCTCTTTTTTTATTGTCTCTAGGCTTTCGGCATTCCAAGTATGAACACAATGCCGTTAGATGTATCCTATTATCCCACTACTACTAACACTAATGCTCAAACAGATGATACTGTCGACTGCTATCCACTGCACTTTAATTTATTCGGATTGAATTCAACCAATGATGCCTATAAGCCGTCAATCTCACCGCCAATATCTCCTCACACTGCTGCTGCTGCTACCTCTGCCGCTACTGCTAATATGCAGTCGAAGGATGATTCCACGTTTACGTTTAATAATCATGTGAAAATGAATAAATTCAAAGATTTTAATGTATCAAAAAGACCATTCAATGCATGGCGTTGGGCTACACTCTGCTATATAATGAATCATATCAATCGGATTGTAGCTCATGTTCAGCATAATGCCGTCACTTATCAATGCATTGCTATCTGTTTTGGTCCCGTATTCTTTGGAAATTCTACAAAATTACCAAAATTAAATGAGGTAGATATTTATTGATTTATTTCTTGTTTCCCTGCATGAAATGGTAATATCGTCTTTATATTTTCATCATTTTGATAATTTAAAAAAAAACTTCTTGATTCCAAAGTTATACACGTGTACCAGTGGATGCGAAATGTGTAGATGGAATAATTACGCCTCTTTTTTGTTGTCTAACTCTTAATGCCTTCAAGTCATACGGAGAGACGTGACTCATTGTTTTTAAGCTAAGTGCACTTGATTATGAATGGATTAGGCCGTGGGTTTGAGTCCCTACACCCTGATATTATCATTTATCACTCATTAGGAACAGCCTACATCCATAGCATATGAAAAGTATGTTCATGTGGTAGGTGAGTGTTCATAAAAACAACGGGAGAAAAAAGGAATTAACTTGTGTACAGAATTAATCTCTTGTTCCTACTAACTCATACTACAGTCGTGTAAGAACTTACGGAGAGTTTTTATCTGAAGTGATGACAAAACCAGTAGTGTCCGTCAGAGGATGTCCATTGTACCCATTTCTGTTTAATTTCATCATAAATATACTAATGGACTTAGCCCTAGCTGATTTCAGCCACACTTAGGAATTAATTTGTGTTACCAGGGTACAGCCTTGTTAACTTGTTGTAATATTCGAATGATATAGTTCTTCTTGGTGAATATGCTGTGAAAAAAAATGCAGAGTCTTTTGAACATCTTAAGCAGCGTGAAATCTTTGTATGTTTGAAGTGCGATTCGCTGCCTTTGTCAAATTTAATATGATAATGCTACAGGACTGACTAGACTGCATCGACGCACTCCTGTCTTTAAGATAGACAGGAGTGAATTGGTTAGTGGAGAGTGTTGACCATTTCACTTATTTGTGAAGTTGCATCAGCCATCTCTAGTGGATTGATTCCTGACGGAATCTCATCATGGATGCAAAAGACTGGTGTTAAATTTGTCAACTTACACCATCTCTGATGCAGATGTACTATCCGATTGACTGTTGATCAAAGGATATATGTACTGCTCGTCAGCCCGGTCAATCCTCACCCTTTATGCCTGTGAACGATATGTGGCCATTGAAAGTGGAAGACCTGAAAAGGTTAGCGCTCTGTGGTTATAAGTGTCTACGTGGTGTCCTCCATGTTAGGTAGTATAATATAATGAGTAATATTGAAGTTAGGCATCGAGTCCTAAGTAAGGAACGAAAATCAATTGACGAGGTTGTGAAGTTATATCCATTGAGATTGCTAGACCACGTGTTACGTATGCGTAGTTATCTTCTTCCTTGACGGTCAGTGTTAACTGCTATAGGATTGTCCAGGTTTGAAACGAGCTAGTGGTTGGTGGTCAAACCAAAACATAGATTCATCAGTTCATGAAATCTTGGAGATTTTTAGGCTAACGCGTGCAGGGAAGAGGTGTAGACCGTCTGGTTATGAGGTTCTCGTGATTCTGAGAACCAATGAAAACTGGAGACAATTGGTGATGTGGCTGGAAATCGTTGTCAATCAAGATGTGCAGATGTCACCCCCATATCCACTAATCCCTATTGTTTTTCGTCTTGCTAGTCTTTGCGGATTGTTAGAAGTTGTACTGATACACTTCTATAGAAAGTTCTATGTTGAGATCCAGTCAGTCAGTCAGTCATCCTTTTGTTATTTTACATCCATAACATAAAAGGGGGTGTTATTCTTCAGTGGTTCTAATGGTGTTGGCAGGCAGTGTAATAAGCAGGGATGAGTCAGGGAGGGAGTAAGTGATTGAAATGACACAGTTTAATGTGATGAAATACTTTAAAAGAAGAGTGGGAACGAATAATGCAGATAGAAGACACGCTATTTTAAAAATTGAATGTAATAATTACTGATCTGACCATCCGTAATCTTTTTCTCTGTATATCGAACTTAGGCTCTTTGAACTAGGTACTACGCTGTCAATAGTCACTCGGTTACAGGTTTTAAAGACGCTGCATTTAACAAGTTTTGGGCGACACAACATTGTCATGATCACTGGTACAATAAGTGTGGCGTACATAGCTGTTGTTGTTGTTGTTGTTGAGCTATATGCATACTTCATCTTCATATGTGTGACTTAACCAATTCAGACTTTTAGAATAATGCAATTACCTCGAATGGCATACTTGTATGACTATCGGTCAGTGAAATAAATGGCACTCTTTTTCTCATCTGAATCTATTTGGAAAAATTAAGGTAAACTCTATTGTTAATAGTTAGAATTAAGAAACCCACTGGTATTATTGGCTGAAATATATTTTGACTGATATACTGGTTTCAACATAGAACTTTGCATAGACGTACAGCAGTTCGAGTTATCACACTCCCACCTTGTAACAAACACAGGAAGAGAAGAGAGTAAGGAGAGGTTCAAAAGACATAATGAACAGATATATGAGACAAAAAGAACAATAATATAGAAAAACACTAGAGTTTTATTGGATGATATAACAAATCACAAAGAGTGAATCCATCTGCGCCATCATTGAGAACTGGGATTTTCAGTCATACCACCAACTGTATTCAGCCTCCAATAGTTCTTACTACCCTGAAGACTCAAACCAGTCAACCAGCTTGTCTACACCTCCCCACGTGGCTGGCTGCCTCTCTAACCGGCTTAAACTAACTGTTATGGATGTCAATGATTGATGATTTTTTTTTTTTTTTTTTTATTTTTTTTTTTTTTTTTTAATTTTAATTTTTTTTTTTTTTTATTATTATTATTATTATTATGAAGCTATGCTTTGGTTTGACCACCAACCACTAGCTCTTTTCCATCCTGGTTGATCCTATGTGGGCAGCTAACACTGCCCGTCAAGGAAGACGATAGCTATGCATACATAACACATATCCTCGCAATCTCTCTCAATCGATGTAACTTCACAATCTCGTTGTTTTGATTTCCCCTCCTAGCACTCGACTGGTGTCTAACCTCAATACTGCTCACCCTATTACACATACCACCTAACAAGGGAAACAGAACGCAGACGCCTGTGATCAAAGACATTATAGGGACTCACTGATATGATGGTATTCACAACTAATTTTACCAACTGGAAATTTGAACAATTATTTCCATTTTCCATGATTTATTGCTTTTTAACTTTAGCTTTCAATTGTTTCTTTTGGGTTCTCGTCATCCGGCGTAAATGTGATATCATCCATTTATCAATCAGAGGGAAGTGTTTGTGTTTACTGCACAACCGTTCATTTTCTGTTCTCCTTTATGGTAGTGAGCGAAACATGGCCACTGAAAGTCGAAGATATGAAAACGCTAGTTGTATCTGAGTACAAACGTTTGCATCCTACCTCCTGTGTTAATTGGTATAATATAGGGAAGAATATTGAGGTTGGGCTTTAGTCAAGTGTTATGTAAGGGAGGCTAAGTCAATTGTTGAAGTTGGAAAAGCTACATTGATTGAGATGGTTAGGACACATGTTGCCATGGCCTTACTCGACAGCTAATGTTAACTGACATAGGAGTATGTTGGAAAAGAATTAGGGGATAGTCGGTGAGATTTCAAAAAATGACATCATTCCAAGAGGTCTTTAGCAAGTTGATTTGAGATAGTTACTGAGGAAGGTGTAGACTGCTTAGTTCGGTGTCTTTGAGATGCTAAGAATTATTGGTTGGAGGCTATTGGCTCAAAGCTGTTGTCAAAGGAGCACATGTGCATTCACTCTTAGTGATCCTTTATAACCAATAAACCGTCATGTTCTTCCAGGTTACTATTTTTTTTGTCACGTGACACAATCTGATTTCATCCCTTAGCAGGAGGAGTGCGCGCATTTCCTACTATTTCGGACTTGTCAACTACAGATACGCACATATCCCCACTAGGTGATAGTGTTCCCACTCGATCCTGTAAAAATCAATTAATTAAATAATGTGAAATACGTAACTAACTTGTGTAAAACTTCTTTTAATGTGTTGACTTTAAAACTATCAACATTCATGTTAATTTGTTTTTAAGGTTCTTGAACATTTATTTCAACATTGGAATTGGCTTACAGATGGTTTACCAATGATAACAAAGACAACTGTAGAACATATTGATTGTGGTGGTGGCGGCAGTACTCTGTCATATGTCATGAATAATGATCCAACACTATCAGATGCTGTCACCTATTTAACTAATGATAATAATAAATGCGATCCATACAAAAAGTCTTTCAGTGGTGAAGGTGTTCATCATCTTCGAGGACAACAACAACAACAGGATACAAGGAATCCAAATGACTGTTATCATCAGTCAAGAAGTCGTGAATCATCTACTCATCTACAAGCGCCTTCATCAAATCAAAATCATGAACAAATTAGTTCTGAGCTTTACTCAAACACTGAAAAAGTTGTTGACGGTGATGGTGACGATGAAGATGAATTGAATAGAGGTGAGTTTATTAGCATACTACTACTAATAATAATAACAATTATTATGACTTCTTTATTTCAAGAAATGCATTCATGCATATTACAGAATTCGCAGTGTGTCTTCATGCGCTGTTTTGGCCACTCACCAGCAAGTGGAAGTGATATCCTCTCCTTTGAGATTTGCAGTCGTCGCATCACCCCGTTGGTGCTGCCAAAGCATCGTCAACATTTCTGAGCTGTTCGGGTTCACGGTTCATCATTTGTAGTATTTCTTAATGAATACATTGATTGATTCATTGGTGGCATAGATTGCGATTCTATGTCATGTCATTGTATGATTGAAAAAAACAACATGAATTGTGAAGTGAATTGGAAGCATTGCAGTGGATAGAGCATAAGATGGTGGTAGTGTAACGTAGTGATTTAAGGTCGCCGTCGAAGCACGTTGACCGCTTCACTTATTTGGGAAGTACCATCAACCAACGCCAACGGGTTGATCTCTCACGAAATCTCAGAACGGATACAGACGGCTAGTTTCGCATATGCCAGTTTACGCCGTCTCTGGCGTAGACGTGATATCCGACGGGTGTACTGCCCATCAGCCCGCTCCGTCCTCCTTTATGGCTGTGAGACATGCTAGCCATTGTGAGTGGAAGACATGAAAAGATTGTCTGTCTTTGTTCATAGGTGCCTGCTCTCTATCTCCTGTGTGAAGTGGTATAATAAGGTGAGCAATATTGAGGTTAGACCTAGGTCGAGTGCTAGGTAGGTGGGAGGGGAAATCAATAGACGAGGCTGTGAAGCTACATCGACTGAGATGGTTAGGACATGTGTTACGTATGCATGCCTAGCCATCGCCTTTCTCGACAACAGGTAATGTTAGCTGATATATGGTCAGACTGGAAAAGAGCTAGTGGTTGGTGGTCAAACCAAAACATGGTTTCATCAGTCAATGAAATCCACAACAGTTAGTTTAGGCTAGTCACGTAGGAAGGTGTAGATTTCCTGACTGGTTGGGGTCCTCGAGATGGTTAAAACCAATGACTGGAAACAATTGGTGACATGGCTCAAACTCATCGTTCTCAATGGCCAGCGCAGATGCATCCACTCTTTGTGACTTATAACATCTAATGAATTTATATTGTTCTTCGTTATTAGTATTCCTTTGTCTCACACCTCTGTTTACTGTCTCTATTATGCATTTCTTCTACTTTGTTCTCTTACTTTTTTTGCTACATGGAGGGAGTGTGGCGACTTGAACTGGTGCACATCGGTGTAAAGTTCTATGTCGAAAACAGATAGACAGACGGCCACCGAAGAAGTGTTTTTACTGACGAATTTATCATCTTGAAATAAGGACGGAACTTGCGCGCTGTAAATACAGTATAATTCCATTATGGAGAAAATTTTATTTTAGTAAAGTTTCACAGTATTGTTATGCAGTATCTTCGATTGTCGCAGATATCTTCATATATATATAGCTGGGAAAATACAACTCTTAATGATTTTAATCCTACTCCAAAGATAATATGGTGGAGATATGTGGATATAGCACTTTCACAATGAGAAAAACCGGACATAACTCTCTCTAGCTTCTTCACACATATAAACTCACTAATAAAGGGAATAAAATTCACATATGAATGAGAAAATGACCAAGGAGAATTAGCTATGAAGTTAGGATATAAAATAAAACGATTAGAAGAAGATAAACTGCACACTAGCATTTATAAACAGCCAACACATTCTCAGAGATATTTCGACTATGGTTTATCTAATCCGTTATCTCTATCTGTGAAGGCAGGCTTAGTTGTTAAGTGTTTAACAAACCAAGCAATAGCACTAAGTGATACAACAAAAAGCCTAAATGATAACATGAAATAGATAGAAGAATAGCTGGTTGTGGGGTTGAATAATTAACTATCCTATAAAATTCATTAGAAAGATCAGTAAATGCCAAAAACAAAATAAAAATAATTGTGGAACTAGTAATGACAACATAAATAAGAGAGAATATAAGTTATCCACTGTTATACCATATAAGGAGGGGACATCTGAGACCCACTCTACGTAGGATTCTTAATAAAACAGGAATTAGACTGGTGGCATTCAAACCTACGAATTCACTCAGGTAGGACAAGCTGTGTAGGCTAAAAGACCCGGTGGACCCAGTTAAACAAAATAATATAATTTACAAAATAACTTGCAACGTCTGTGAGTGAAGTCAATCACATAGGTTGAACTAGGAGGTCGAGAGTAGTCAAATTATCAGAACATAAGTATTTAGCTAAAATTAAGATGGTTGACCCCGCGAAGATAAGTAACTTAGAAAAAAGCTCAGCAATCACACTTCATACATTAACACAGAACCACAGAATAAGGTGGGTGGGACAGAGTTAAAATTCTAAAAAAAATTGTTTTATTTCAATTCACGTTATTACACTCTAACATGTTATTTATTTTATGTTTACTTTATTGACAAAAGATTCATCCCCCCCCCCCCTGTCTTATTGACTGAACAACACTAGCCTTATTTTTTCTGTCGTATTATATTTTCTTGATAAACGGAGAGGACCAGCAGGTTGTTGAGGTGTTTTTCTTAAATATCGTATTCTTCGTTTTGTAGATTGTTTTTTCTCTCCTTCCCCATTCTTAATTGCATTTATTTTTTTAAATTTCTTTTTGAAATTAACAGAAGTTATTAAACAAGTGAAAAGTTTATGGTTAACAGCTTTAGATAAAGTCAGTCAAGCGAATAAATCTTCGGCGCCTAAAGAAAAAGCTTATAAGTAAGTCAATTTCTGCATAAACTGCCTTCCTGTGCTTGCTTGAAGTGAGATAGTCTTCTGTCATGAGAGATGTGATTGATTGATTGATTGATTGATTGAGATGTATTCACACTTTTGATGATTCTTCGTTTGCATTCCGAGTGGAACATAAGGTTTCATGTCTAAGGCCATGAAGTTCCGGTAGCAGTGGTGTCTCTCTCTCTCTCGCCCTCAACTTTCCCTTCCTCAACTGGTGTCTTACTACCGGCTAGGTGAGGTTTAAAAGTCCATCGACTGGGAATCGAACTTCGGACCACACGAGTGTGACATTGTGGATGATGAGTGTCCAACCAGTGAACCACCAACGCACAAAGTAATTTTTTCAAAGCGAACAGTTTATTTTACTACATTAGCAGATTGGTGTACTCTCTACGCATGTTGATGTTGAACCATTGCCCTTCTGGTTACAAGGCAAGCTTGTATACTATTCATTCAGCCACTGGGACCCAATTCAGTGGACAGTCCATGAATTCTGACTTCGACCAATTCAGGATTTTTTAGTGCAACTGACACCAACTAATCTCATCGGCGGGAAATCCATCCCCACTCCCTTCTGGGTGAACCTCATTGGTCAAAATTACTCACTAGAACACTCCAGGAAACTCCGTCCTATAGCAAGTCATTAGCGAGCATCAGATTAATTTTCAAGAGTTGATTTGTAAGGGTTAGATTTTTTTTTTTGAGTTTGATCACTGATTGATATCAGTTAGAGAACGATTGAAAACCATCCAGGAGTACTGGACAACCAGCTTGCTTCGTCAGCCTAATTTTGGACTCACCGACAGTACTCACCCATTGGGGTCCGGACCCAGTGGCTGAATAGTACACAAGCTTGCCTTGTAATCGGAAGGTCGTGTGTTGGAAACGCAGTGGGTGCGTACTGCCGATGACTTCCAAACTAGGATGAAACAGCTGTCCAGTACTCTCTGGTGGTGGTTTCCAGTGGTTCTCTAACTTATATCAATCCATGATCAACTGGTGAAAAAAAAATCTAATCCTTGTAAACCAACTATAGAAAATTTTGACCTATGGTAAACCAACAAACCAACTCACTCAAACAGTCAGTCAGAGAAGATAACCACCACATCAAAAAAATAAGTTGAGCCTATCGGTATTTTTGATTTGTGAAAGAAACGAAACATTTCAAATCAATTGGTTGATGATGGTGTGTGACTGGCAGTGGGATAATCCATGAGCCCACGCTTCGTCTTCTTTGGGACTCATCAAGCCGATGCACTTAAGTCTCAAAGAATGGTAATGTTTCCTACTGAGGCTCGAAACTCCAGTACCCCATGCTCGAAACACCAGTTGGTTACGAAGTGAAACATATTGTCACGGACTCCACTGCTAGCCGCCATCACAAACTGATGCATCGAACATCGGATTAATTTTCAAGAGTTGATTTGTAAGGATTAGATTTGTTTTGTTTTTTTTGAGTTTGATCACTGATTGATATCAGTTAGAGAACCATTGGAAACCAGCCAGGAGTACTGGACAACTAACTGTTTCGTCAGCCTAATTTTGGACTCATCATCAGTACTCACTCATTCGGTTTCGAAATGAGGACCTTTTTCTTTTATTCTAAACAACCTGTTATATTTTAAATCTGACTCTTCATTAATAAATGTTTGAGTGCATGTGAAAATCTCCGTGTGAATAACCTTCAACTAAGTCTTTTGTTTATACTTTTTTTGGCTTTTTGGTACAACTTTCATGTTTCAAGTTGTTTTTTTTTCTTTCAAATTTGTGATGATTTTGTCTAGCGTTTGCAAGTGTGTTACACATAAATAAATGAATTTGTCCAAGTTTTCGCCTCTCTCTCTTTCTGTTTCTTTCAAAATTTGTTTCGTTCCATCTGAAATGATTTATTTAGATGAAGGTGCTGATCACGATTTGTCACTGGCTTTTTAAATCAATATAAAAGTATTCAGCAGTAATCTTAGATGAGATACCATGTTATCATTGAAAGGGGCTTACTTTATGTCGCCGTACATGATAAAAACACTAGTCATGATTATTATTACTATTATTATTATTCCCTTGGTTTAAGAGTGGAACATAACGCTTTAACACTGCATCTTCACTTTGTCTTATTCTCTGCGGTCTTCCTCCTTCTCTACGACTGCCTATGATCTCTCATCTCCTTCACATACGACCTCTTTCATGTCAACACTGGATCCAAGCCCAAATTGTCGTTTCCAATTCGGGTTCAACTCGGGTGATGGCTTAGTGCACGATGTCTTTCGGTGGCCTCTTCAGTGTGTGCCCGATCCATCTCCATTTTCCCCGACGACAGGTTCTTGATTGATTTGGTCCCGTAGTTTTTCTTTTGTTGCTGCTAATTCTTTCTCGCTGGTCAGCTATTTCACCTTCAATATGGAGCCAGCTGTTGATGAAAGTCTTCAGTAGCTTGTTGGAAATGCTTCGCGTGGCACGCAGTACAAGTTTCTGATCCATTTAGAAGAACTGACTGAACTGATAGTGGTGTTGAAAATCAGAATCGTATTGTTTATCTTGAGTTAATACAGCAAGACTTCCAAACTAATATCAGAGTAATGAAGGTTGAGGTTGAAGCATGCTAAGGTATGTTAAGTGTGAACTCAACAAAAAATACCAAATGTTTTACACGCATAAAGGATCACATCTCTGATATCTACAAAATCAATATGATTCGTTATCACCAGTCCATTTTAGAACCGCCGCCTTTCAGGCTCTATGATGTGTAATATACTACTTTTTGATTGATATAAGTAGTTGTATACCACTCACACCAACCAGTAGTGCTTACAAAGGCAGCCAGCTAGCCAGGTCATCAAAGTGATCTCTAAACACCAGACGGCTCTTGTGCTCATTTTAAACCACAGGCTTATCAACGGTGTAGGTGGTCTGAATCAGTTGAAACCACCTGAAATGTTTCCTATTTCGTCAAGAATTCAGTGTTGTATTTCCATCGAAGTGTTAAGTCCCACTCAATGAAGCACACAAGCCGTTAAACAATATGCTAATTTTATGAAATAAAGTATATAAGATGCCATTTTATATCTCTCTAAGTCATCTGTTGACTTTCACTATGAATCGCGATTTTTGTAGTAGGTGTGCCAATCAATTAACACGTCGGTGGCACAGAGGCACACGGGGGGTTCGATACCCCGCCACCAACACACTCCTTTACTTCACTAAGCCAGCAATAAGACTGATAAAGAGGAATGGTTGGTCTAGGTGAGGCTAGCAACCCCATTCCGTAAAAATAAACATCACTGCTACCGAAGCTTCAAGCCTTTAGCTTGAAGATTTCATCTATCTTTGGCTTTCAATTACTATGATAAGAGTGACTGATAAGAGGTCTCGTCCTTTGGTAAACTACATTTCTTCATGTGTTCTACATAACAAAATGACTTTATCTATGTTCATTGCGAAATGGTGAATTCGTTTCTAGTAGCACTCACGCTCATATTTTATAGGCATTATATATATATATATGTCTGCCTTCAAATGTATATCAAAAGATATCATTTTCATGTGTAATACGTTCTCCGTTTCCTTAATTATTTTTAAAAGTGATTCCTTTTGATGTTTATACTATTTTTTTCGAATCAGAGAAATAGTTACAGTAACTTATCTGACTTGGTACGTTATGCTATCTATCGCCAAAAGAAAGTTATTTAAATACCTTGTGTGTGTGTGTGTGTGTGTGTGTGTGTGTGTGTGTGTGTGTGTGTGTGTGTGGTTCTCTGATTGCTTTGTCTTTTTCTATTTGGTTGTGGAACTAACTAATGGTTGATTAGAAGTCAGGCAGTCACCCAGTACTGTCGGGCTATTATTTCATTGAGTTGTTCCCTTGTGCTCTTTGTGGAATATATACAGCTTCCGTAGAGCATCTCCATTTCATTCTGTTCTCTGAGGTCCTTTTTATCTGGCATCACAATTCCCCTTAAACTCTCATTTCCTGTATGTCACTCTCCGAGCCACGGTCAACTCGTTGTTTTTCATTGGGGTTTCACTTCACTGTCTGTATCGTGATGTCACTCATCGGGTCTCCTCAGCTTATATCCTACTGAATCCTAATTATTGGGCTATGAACCACACTTATTGTGTGAAGATGTTGATATTCGTGGAGCAAGGTCAGAGAACCGGGAATTAATTCACTGCAAGTCGAGTGCTTAAGCCAGTGGAGTGCATCTCTACAGAATTATCTAATACCACCTGAAGTGGTATAGGTGAATATAAGGTGGAATAGTTCGCTTACGATCTATAAGCACAGCCCTTTGCTGATCTGTAATTTTCTTCTTCTGAAGATGAAGATGGGTTAGATAGTTGGAGACAATGGCCAAAAAGCCTTTGACCTTGGGTTTCGTGTTTGTTTGTAGGTGGGTGGGTGGGTACTAATCAGCAAGATGGATCTACAGTCTTGGAAAAACTAGTGTCCTCGTTTAAGATTCGAATGTGCCTCATCTAGTTATTCAGACTCGCGATTGACCTCATATCGGTAGTGATTGGAAACTTGGTGTTTTTTCTTCTTTGTTGTTCAATAGCTCTAATCACTTCCCATTTTTGTTGGTTTGTCTTAGTTACATAAAAGTTATATCTGTTATTTCGATCGACTTTCTTCCTCAGCTAAGAGTTGATAAATTGCAACTGCTATCTCATTTTTTTTTATTTCATGTTAATTTGGCCAACTTTTTATTGTCGAAATCGTATCCAAGTTGAACTTGGTCATTTCAGTATGTGTAGTACAATTTCGTCCTTCTTAAGTTGTGCGTCATCAGTAGTTATTTCAGGGGTAGAATGTCTGTCAGTCAATTACGTTGTCCAAGTTCAATTCCCAGCTATCGATGTACTCACTCGTAAACTTCGCCAAACCGCAATAGTAAGCCCGGAGAAGTGCGAAGGTTGGGTGTGAGGTGTTGCAACCCCTCACACATCTTGTAAAAACACAAGCGCTACTAAAACTTCAGAAAGCA